CCCAGATGTGCGAGGCCCTTGTTCCACCTTCAGCAGAACCACACACTCTCACACTCACACAACCACTGACAGAGGCACTTTAAGCTGGGGGCCATGTGTATGTCCGGTCAGAGAAGTGGTGGAACTTGCCAGCTGTGTGCACTTGCTGGTAGGCACAGGCCTAGGCACCTGGAGGAAAGGCTCTCCCACCTGCCAGTATCTGAGACAGCTTGCTACTCTCTGTGGTGACAAACCTCAGCCTTTGTCCACTGCTTTGCTCTTAGTGCTTATAATGAATCTGCATAAGGCTGATTGACAGGGTGGACCCATGCAGGGACGGGGCACTCCAGGGCTGCTCTTTGTACCTGCCTCATGTGCAAGGGTCCCACATGACAAAGCCCTTTGCTGGTCAGCTCACACACCTTCTGTGTCCTGTGACGATCATGCGCAGCTTATCTCCAAGGTCCTGCATCTCGTGGATCTGGGCAAACGTCCCCGTGTGGTAGATCTCCTCCAAGCTCTCGACCACATCGGCCTCATTGCTGAGGGACAGCAGAAAGGTGCATGAGCCGAGCTGCAGAGCGCACAGCGTCAGGGGCATGTGGGATAGAAGGGCCCTGCCGGCACTTTACAAACAGTGGCCTGGGGCTAGGGCACGGCTCAGTGGCACAGCACTTGCCCAACACACGGGAGCACTGGATTGGAGCCTCAGCACCACATACTAAATAAAATAAAGGCATTCTGTCCATCTACAGCTAGAAGAAAAAAAATTAAAGCAAAAAGCAGAGTGGCGCCCTGGGCTCCCACAGGGTGACCTCCACAGGGCAGCTCCTCGCCAGGTCAAAGCTGAGGAAGGGTTCTCTTCCACTCTCCTTTAACTTGGAAGAGACCTCGGGCTGGCTCGGCACTCGAGCAGCCTCCCAGGTGCCTTTTAATACTACAGGTTCTTGAAGCTAGATCCCTCATCTTGACAGTTTGCAGAGATTCCCTGCTCGGTGCTAGGGTGGAGCCAGGCGCGGCCAGCACTCTACACAGAGCCCGGGAGCTCAGTGCAGGAGCCACCAGCGGAGTCCTCAGCTGCGACTAGAGAGGCATTCTGCCCAGCCCTTAGCCGGGGCTCCTCTTAGGTCAAGGGGAAAGGTCCACGCTACTCTACACAGCAGGACTGCAGGGAGCCAGGCGCCAAGGCCCCTTCAACAAAAGAATGAAGGAAAAATGCCACTTACTTGTCATCTCTCTTTAGAAAGACGCCGACATATGGCTGGGCAAGACGGACTTTCCTTCTCAACAGCTCAACCAACTTCTTATTTTTAACCTAGCATGACAACAACCCGAGTGAAATGCAGGGCAGGTCTTCTACTGACACTCGACAGTTTTACTCTCTACGGACATGCTAACCTGATTCAGGACACTAATCAACATGGTCCAGGAATCTGGACCAAAAGGACAGGGGTGGGGTTACTGGAAGGGGATGGGGCAGAACAGTATTACCTAGTGTAGTGGCCCCTCCCACGTTTCCAAAGAAAATTCAGGGGCTGGGACTCAGTGGTAGAGTGCTTGCCTAGCATGTGTGAGGCACTGGGTTTAATTCTCAGCACCACATATAAATAAATAAAATAAAGGTTCACTGACAACTAAAGAATATTTTTTAAAAAAAATTCAAAGTAGACAATGACCGGAACCAAGAAATTGCTTTAACATCCCGCTCAAAAAGCTGTTTCAGGGCTGGGATTGTGGCTTAGTGGTAGAGCGCTCGCCTAGCACATGTGAGGCCCTGGGTTCAATCCTCAGTACCACATATAAAATAAAGTATTATGTCAATTACAACTAAAAAATATTAAAAAAAAAAAAAAGCTGTTTCAGTGGCAAAACGTCTGAGTTTGAAAATCATAACCATTCTGCTTTTCTTAATGTCAGGACAACATATGTGGAGGTCAAACGTGGCCTCTGCACAGGCCACACTCTCACAGGAACTATCTCCTCATCCACTTGTGCTGGTCATGTTCACACCCCAGAACCACAGCACTCTTGGTGTCATCCCAGGGGCGGGCCAGAGCTCCATTGACCTCCAGGAAGCATCTGGCTGGCAGGGTGCAGCCATCTGAGACTCAGCTGATTCCCTCCACTCGTTCCTGGCCAGATCTTAGTTAATGAACCTTAAGCTTTAACAGGCACCAGAATCAGTTGCAGGACTGCTTAAACTGTCGGCGGGGCCCCACCCATGCAATTTCTGATCCAGGAGGCCTGGGGTGGGCCCCAGAAACAGCGTTTCAAACTGACTGCCAGGTGACACTGAAGCTGCTGGCCCAGGGACCACACCAAGGATCAACAGAGGCTCTTGTCTTGTGGTGGGAACACCTGACGCTGTAGATTTATTTTTTTATTTTATTTATTTTTTATTTTTTTGCAGTACTGGGGATTGAACCCACTGGTCCTCTACCAGTGAGTTACATTCCCAGTCCTTACTATTTTCTAGGGCAGGATCACACTAAGTTGCTGACGCTGGCCTCAAACTTGCAATTCTTTTGCCTAAGCCTCTGAGTAGCTGGGATTTCAGGCAAGACTACCACATCCAGCTTAGACATACTTTTTCTGGGAAGAAAGTGTGTAGTATCCAGTAAGAGGATGCAAGACCCCAAAATTAAGAAAGGCTGCTCCACATTCAAAGGCCACCAATTAGGAGAGAAGCTATTAGAGCAAGAAGTATTAACTACAAAATCAAGCATAAACAGAGATTTGCTAACAGGTTCAGAAATGTTTATTGGGTCCCAAAGAAGCCACCCCCACTTCTCCCCTGCCATCAGCTGACTGTTACACCCTCCACACCTCTCTCTCCATCCCCGTGGCAGAATCCTTGTTATTTCCAGGGTAACACTGACAGAAACACTGACGACCAGGTCTCCTAATGCAGTCCACAGTGACTTGTTTGGCCCTCCTGGCTAACTCCAGATGGGCACAGGACTTTCTTGAGGAGTCATCTCTCTGCTGGGGTACTGGGGCAAAGGGCATCTGTCATTATGGGGTGGGAGGCAAGCCTGGTGAACAGTCCTGGCCCCAGAAGCCTGGGAAGATAAGGAGGACAGCTGGGGGTGGGGTCAAAGCTGGGCCGGAGGCCTTCAGGGAGGAGTTCTGAAATGTCACCAACATCTTCCATGTGCACCTGCCACAGCACTCGTAGGAGGAGTTGCCACATAACTTCTAACTTCCTCTGGGTAGCAAATTGCAGCAGCAGCATCTCACTACTGAGGCAAACTAAGTGCCAGACACAGATCCAAAGCCTTGACACAGAACTTCATGTAAGTCCCACAACAGCTCCTACCAGTAAGATGCTACTCTGATGTCCATTTCACAGACAAGAAAATCAAGGCCTTGAGGAGTAACTTGAAGAGTAGTGGGGCCGAATGACTCCTTGGGGTCTTGCTCTGGTGTGTGCCCCAGAAACCATTACCCAACATCAAGGAAAGGTCTTGAAAAGGGAGCTCAGACACACAGAATTGGAGAGGGGCTTCGTCTGTCCCTCCCCACTCGTGGGCTGCTGCCTCTGCACTGCCCTTTCCCCTTCCAAGCGATCCTTGGGATTTATTTATTTATCCAGACTCTGGAATGTGAACGCAGAGGCTGACTCACTGTGTGACCCTGCTTACAGGAATAACTGATAACCTTTCTCCTCCCTGGACTTGAGCTCCCACTGATTTTAAAGGGGAGGGGGTGGTAGGTGGGGGAGAGGCATTTGGGTTCTTCTCACTCTAAAAGCTGAATGACAAGGGCCTCCTGCAGTCACTGCTTTCTCCCTCTTACATCACCCTGCTCCTTCCCGCCCCCCTCATGGCTCTTCCTCTGAAAGGACCTGGTTTACTGCCTCTTCCACCTCCACATCTGCTCCTCAGGCCAGATGTTCACCACTGCCTTCCTCTGCCTGCCCCGTGGCAGTCATCAAGAACACTGCTGAATGAATAACTCAGTCCTCCTTCCCCTCCCTCAAGCCTCTTTACCATTCCTCGCTCTATTATTCCTGGCGGTCACTGCTGCTTATTTCATCCTCACAGAAGGTCAACTCCAAAGGCCGGGAATCTAAAACTACCTGACAGAGCACAAGCAACCAAGAAATGGTTGTTTAACGAGGAAATGAATCCTGATCCCAAAGAGGTTCCTAAACTGTCACCCGAGGGAGTTACAGAAGAGTACGCGGGCTGCAATACTGCCTCTGGTCCGCCCGGCCTTCCATCACCAGGGCTCGAAGGGGGTCCTAAGCTCACGGAGCCCAACTCCTCTAACAAACCCAAGGAACTCAAAAGGGTGAGGCATTTGCTCAGGAGCACCCCACCAGTGCCGCGCGGATGAGACTCCAACTGCAAACTCTGAGAAACTTCGGAGAAAGTTCTGCGGCCTGAGGGCGCTACGCGATCCCTCGGTCCAACCTGTCACTTGCAGAGGTGGGGAAACCAAGGCCGAGGCGGGGGCTCCCATTACCTCGATGATCTTGATAAAGCGCGGGAACACGGGGTTGCGGGTGATGGCGATGAGCGGCAGGTGCGGGAACACGTCCGGGATCGTCATGGGCGTGAGCGCCGTTATGACCGGGCCTTCCCCGGCGCCCGCACCGCCCCCTGCGCCTTCCTCCCCGCCCCCGTCGGCGGCATCCTCGCCGCCCGAGAATGCCCCGCTGCCGCGGCTGTTCGCTTCCCAAAGCCCTCGCCACTGACCGGCGGCTGCCGGGCTTCGGCCCCAAAGCGCCCAAGGAGGCGAAGCGTCGCAGGCCCTCCGGCCTCTGGGCAGCCACGCGCCGGCCGCGGTCGGGCCCCTCCCCCCGGCGGCGGCCAGCAGCGGCCGGCGCAGAGCCCAGCACCGCGCCGCGCGCCACAGCCGCACGTAGCCTGTGCTCGCCGCCATGGCCCGGCCATACTGGGGGCGCGCGGGAGTCACGTCATTTCCGCTCTCCGGGCCGGGGCGCACGTGACGCCTGGCGCGTGCCGCGGCCCCGAGGAGGGCGTGGCGCTAGAAGCCACGCCTCTAGGAGGGGCTTGCGGTGGGCGGGGTAACTCCCTCGGCCTCCGACCTCACGCGCTGTAGAGCTTTCGGGTCACCGGGAAAGAACTGATGCTGCAAGCCTTTGAGAACTTATGGGCTCCCTGTGCACGCGCTTAGGGGAGCGGGTGACATGCGCATGTCCAAGCTCTGGGCCGTGAAGTTGCATTCGAGCTTCCCAGGAGACAGGACGCGCATGCCCACACTGACGGGCCCTGCGGGCCCAGGATCCAGTCGCGCATGCTCAGAATCCAGGCCGCGCAGCGTGCTGCCATGTGCGCATGCCCAGGCACGGGAGCGCCCAGGCTCGTCTGCGCACGCCCTGCCTGTGGAGCTAGTGCCCGAGGCGGTTGTAGGGCGGTGGTAGCAGTGTCCAGCGAGATGCTGGTGTTGATGCTGGTGGTGGCGGCGACCGCGCGGCTCTGGGCGCCGGTCGGAGCTAGTCAGCTGTGCCGGTGGGACTGCCCTCCGGGGACTGGGTGCTGCTAGCGGTGGGGAGGGCGCCGTCCATCTACGTCCTTGAGGCCGCCGACTCTGTAGGAGTCAGGCTTGGTACTGCCCTTTCTCCCACCTTCCCAGCCCATCTCCGCGTCCGCCAGTTTTACCCCGGGACTCCTCGGCCGCCTCCACCCTAGGCTTTGTCCTCCTGTCCGTTGACCAACCCCTGAGCGGCTCTTTGTGGGCATTCCCCTGCCTTGGTTCTCCGCCGAAACCCGGGACAACGCACGTCCCTCGCGCAGCCTGCAGTCCCCTTGCACAGTCGGCCGGATGAGTTTCCTCCTGGAGCTGTCCTGTGCCTCCTTCCACGTTTAGCTGGACCACGTCCCTGGTCTCCGCTCACTGGGGGCCGGTAGTAGTACGTCCTCTCCCAGACTTCACAATCACCCGAGAGGTTCCTGGGGTTCCGAGAGCTCCTGGCCTGACCCCTGGGTCACAGGACTGCAGCCAAGACGTCCGCGTCCTCGGTCCAGGCTTAGGGCTTTCTGTTCCCTCTGCCTGGCATGTTTGGCTTCCAGATTTCTCCATGACCAGTTCTTCATTCCCCCTTTTAAGCCCTTCTCCACTGTTACTTTCTGTCCCCTGATTCTTGTATTTCCTGTCACTACTTGCTGTTATTTAATTTTTTGACCAATTCGCACCGTGAGCCTGTGGGCTCTGGGCTGCCCATTTCATTCACTCCTTACCCAGTACACTTCTAGACTCCAGTAGGCGGGTGGATAGTGTGCAAGGGCCACGGGCCACGCAGATGCCAAAGCTCAGTTGGCACCCTCGGGCACAGGAGTGAGCTGTCACACAGCAGGGACCTGCTTACTGTGAGATAGTCAGCGTGTGCCTAAGGCACAGGGACCCTTTGGGTCTTTATGACAAGCTTCACAAATTAGTGATTCCTTCATCTCATTTAATAGATGTGAAAACAGACCCAGTTGCTGAAAGACATATAGCTAAGTGGGGAGTAAGGTTTTCCTGTAAGGCTTCCTAGGAGGACTTATCTCAAGGCGTATAAGGATCAGTTATGTCTACTTCTCCCATTTCCCCCATGCTGCTGGTCCCCGGCCAAGCAGCGCAGCACCTAGGAATTGGTTAGAATTGGGTAGAAACACAATTCCCCAAACTTACTGGGTCAAAGGTTCCCAGTCATGCGGGCGCTCACTCAAGGTTCAAGACTGAATCTCTGCTACAAACTATGCCACCATTCCCACCATCGCGTAAGGAAAGAAGCAAGAAAGCTAACAGCTTGGAGCAGGAGTTTTATCTTCCTCATCTGGGCTCTGTGAATGAGCTTTTGGGAACTGATAGGCTCCATCTCTGTGTAGGCCTGTACATAAATCTGCTTCACAGAGCCGAGGGCCCACAGTTTCAGGTCACCCACAACCCTCAAAAAATCAAGGGCAGTAACTAACATAGTCTGAATATTGACTGCAAATGTATCTGTTACCTCCAGGATTCGCACGGTGAGGACAGGAAAAGTGTTTAACGTCATTCAGCAAGTCCAAGGGGTACGTGGCTCCCCCCTACGTTCTGCCTTGAGTTTTTATCTAATGGCTGGTGGGGGAGGAACATTTCCTCATATCTCTTGAGGGGCAGCAGTACATCAGGTCTCTAAGGAGATTGCTTTATTTAATCCTTAATTAATTTTCCATAGCAGTAGGGAATAATCACTCCCATTTCCCTAAAATCTAGTTGAGAGCTTTGATCAAGGAACCTACCAAGAGTAGGAGTGGGGCTAGGACTCAGGTCACCTGACCCTCCACCCACAGCTAGGTCTGCTATCACATCTGATAGATTTTGAAATGCAGTCACGTGGAGGTGCTCTACGTGGCCGTGGTGCAGCATGGCGGGTAGCACCACATTACCCAACACGTGCTTAAGATGCTTAAAAAGCAAATTCCCCTCCAAGGAAGCTTCCTGTTGACGCTGTGCAATTTCAAAGGTAGTCTTTCTAAATCATCAAAATCTCTGGATTCTCACATTCTGGCATAAGATTCTCCATCCTTAGGCCTCTCTTCCAAGTAATCATCTGGGTGTTCTGTTTGTTTAGAGAAGGGCTCTTTTTTTAAAAAAATATTTATTTAGTTGTAGATGAACACACTATTTTTAGTGGTGCTGAGGATCGAACCCAGTGCCTCACACGTGTGAGACAAGCACTTTACCACTGAGCTACAGCCTCAGCCCCTGGAGAATGGCTCTTGCCATGGTGCTCAGCCTGGCTTTGAACTCCTGGGCTCAAATGATCCTCCCGCCCCATCCTCCCAAAATAGCTGGGACAACAGGCGTGGGCCACGGTACCCAGCTACTATCCGTCAGTAGACAACACCTACAGGAATGAGGTGTGATACGAATCCCACCTTTTATTTCATTGTGATTATAGATTGACATCAAACTGCAAAAATAGTCCAGAGAGGCTCTAGGGACCCCTCCCCAGCTTTCCTCCGTGGTAACACCTGACATGGCCACGCTCTAAAACCAAAAGAGGAAAATGAAGCTGGGCATGGTGGCATACACCTGTCGTCGCAGGTAACTTGGAAGGCTGAGGCAGGAGAATCACTTCAGCCCAGGAGTTCAAGGCCAGCTTGGGGGACATAATGAGATGCCATTAAATAAAAAAGAGGAAATGACATTGCCACAAGCCACCTAACTAATGGATATTTCACCCTTTACATTTGTAATGTTGACATTGGGTTGTTGTTGTATTACCTGGTTATCAGCATTGATCTCATTGACTGTGTGATTCTCTCTAGGATGTGCTGTATTTTCAGTCTGGGACCAGGTTGATTAAACATGCTTGTGATAAAAACATAGCACTGTATCTAGGGTAAGTGGCCATTTTATTCACTGTCTCCTTCCTTTACATTAAACTTACTCATCCCACAAACATGAGCAGAGATGGTTTTGCCCTCATTGCTCCTAGCTGGCTGCAGGGAGTCCACGCTTAGGTCTAGGCTTGGAGAAAGGGGAGCAGAGAGCAGCAAGTAACTAAAACAGTCACAGCAGAGCGTCCACTTCCTGCATCTGTGGATTCCACCGACCACTGAAAAGATTTTCTTAAAAAATCGCATCCCTGTTGGGGCGTAGTGGCACACACCTACAATTCCAGCTGCTACGGAGGCTGAGGCAGGAAGATCGAAAGTTCCAGGCCAGCCTCAGCAACTTAGTGAGACCCTGTCTCTAAATGAAATACAAAAAAAGGCTGGGGATGTGGCTCAGTGGTTAAGCGCCATTGGGTTCAATCCCCAGTAGCAAAACCAAACAACAAAACCAAATACCGGAGCTATAAAGAGGTGCTCCTGCAAAATCAGTAATGGATGTTACCTGGATGGTTCCTGGCTAAACAGGAATTTCCCTTGAACAGAACATTTTTAGAGTAACTTCATGGTCTTTTTAAATTTTCTTGTGTGAAATCGTCCTAATTTGACTCTTTTATGGTTTATTTCAGAAAACACGTTTTTCTCACGAGAGACAACTTTGAGAGTAGTCTCCTTCCACTCGCCATCCCTACATCCATGACGGTAGTTACTTTACCAGATGGTTTGAAGGATCTTTGAGATACGCGATATTCAGGGGAAGACAGAGTTCAGAAGCATCAGAGTGGCCTGCTTTCCTTAGTTTCAGGTTTCTTTGGCAATGTGCCCTTTGAGGCCAAGAGCAGTTTCTAAGCTAAAACCGGGTTGGTCCTGTTCTCTTCCTACTACCAAAGTGGGCTTTTCTTTGAGAGAAAGGAAACACAGTAGTGGCCCAGGGTCTTCCTTCCACTGTGTGCCCCTGAGATTGGGTGGTATCCTCATTTCCTGAGGTCATTTCAAGTCCTCCCTAAATGGTCCTCAGCCAAAGCAGAAGCACCCTCACAGTCACTGTCTCAGGAAGTTCTGCCGCTGGCCCCTGTGCTCCTGGCCCGAGATCAGCCCTCGTCACTCATGCTGCTGGCCTGTCCCGCAGACATCTAGCTGTGTCCTGGAGACAGAGACGAGGACAGACGGGGGGTCGGGGGACAGTTTAGCAGATCCGCGTCCCACACAGCGCAGTGACTGCCCCCCCATCCTTCTTTCTAGGTGGGCGTGCCAGAAGTGACATCAGCACATTTTGCCAACGCGTTCCTGCTGTTGGTAGTGAATGGGAAAGTCTATACTTATGCCTACAAGGAGGATGTCTGGCAGATAGCGACAGGTACGTGGGTTTTGTGTTTTTGAACTTGGTTGGAGTTTAGCCAACATCGGAGAAGAGAGGATCAATTTCAGAAACATACATGGCCCCCCTACTTGGGAGTCAGCCCCTGGACGTCACCTTGTCTCCTCCCCCCGACCCCCAGGTGCTGGGAATTGAACCCAAGGGTGCGCGCCCCAAATAAAACGGTCTGGGGAACCGCACTTGAGTCAGGGTCTTGCTGAGTTGCTGAGGCTGGTTTGGAACTTGAAGTCCTCTTGCCGAGGCCTCCGGGTGGTGGATGCCAGGTGTGCATCCCCAGGTGTGGCTCAGGGGAGGAGCACTTGCCTGGGTGTGTGAGGCCCTGGGTTCCGGCCCCAGTACTGGAAAAAGGAAAAGAAGGAAGGGAGGGGGTGGGGAAGGACCCAAGTGAAAATTGGCCCGAAGCCTCGTCCCAGAGGGTGGGAACCCAGTGTTTCTGCCCCAGCCACAAAAACCTGCTCAGCCTGATTGAATCAGAAGACACCCCCAGGACTCGGCAACGGAGTGGGTTTGGGGAAAGGACCCAGGAGGACCCAGGAGGGCCAAGAGTGACTCCCTGATGGGGATGCTCAGTCCCACATGCTACTCGTTAGGGGCCCGGTGAGCTTCCTGAAGAGGAGAGCAGGGAACCCCAGAGCAGGCGGCAAGGAGGTGGCCGGGGGAGCCTTCAGGGCAGCTCCCCGCCAGGTTCCCACATTCTGTCCTGTCTCCATGATCATGTCGACTCCGGGACCTGACGCAGGTGCGGTCCTGCCCTCTGTGTCCTCCTACTCCGGCGTCTTTACTGACCTAAAGCCTTTGAGGTCATCCACGTGGTGACCGTGCCTACTCCCACGTGGGTACCGTGACCCCAGTGGGCAGACACTGGGGTCCTTTCCACCTCTGGCACAGCCTGCTGCTGGGAACACAGGTGCCAGGCCTCCCCAGTCCCTGCTGTCAGTGATTCTGGGTGTGTCCCCAGGGGCGGAACAGCATCCTCGAGTGACTGTCGGTTTCTGGGAACTGCGAGCGTTGCAGCCCCACGCAGTGCACCATCGCCCCTTCCCCACGTCCTCGGCACACTTGGGCCTCTGCTGCTTTGATCAGCCATCCCCGTGGGGTGCGGGCCACCTCCTCGTGGCTTTGATCTGCGTTTCCCTAACGGTCAGGGACTGTGTGGCTCTGGAGGAGAAGCCTCTGCTTTTAAATAGAATGAAAGGAAGCCTTGAGAAGAGAAGGGAGCCCCACCTGGGATTCTGCAGCCCTGGAAGTCCCCCCCAAGCCAGCAGGTCTCACTGGAATCCTGCGGTGTTCAGAGACACTTTCCATTTCCAAAGCCAGGGGAAGAGGCTACGGCATTGAGGGTAGACGAGGACCTGTTGAGCCTCCTGTGGTGCCTAGAGAGGGCCTGCAGCTGAGGGTGACCGCCCCACGTCCCTAGTGTCGAGGTCGACACACTCCACTCTAGAACGTTCTCTGATTGTGTGTACAACGGTATGTAAGGTTCACCGGTTCTTTTCAGGTATCCAGCATCCCGTTTCACACATCTCTGGTGACAATTGTTGTTTTGTTGGAAACACCTTTTGCACGGTAAGCACGGTTTACGATTTTCCCTTCTTCACTCTGTCCCGAACACAAGTCATCATGAATGGGCCCCATGCGGGGCTCGGGGGAGGTCACCTCCGTGGAGCTGGGAAGAGGGCCTGAGAGCTGGCAGGGGCCCTGGAGAGACTTCAGATCAAAGAGCTGCCACCCTGTGGGCCTGTCTATCTTGTTTTAACAAACGTACCATTTCGGAATAATTGTAGACACTGTAGGGATTTGCTAAAAGAACAGAGTCCCAGGTGCCCTTCCGCCAGTTCCCCAGTGGTCACGTCTCACACAGTCGTGAAACGGTAGCAAACAGGACATGGATATGGAAGCCACGCACATTCCCAGTTCTAGGCCATTTTACCCCGTGACCTCCACTGCCACGGAGACAGCCTTGTTCTCTCTGCAAGGCACGTGTCTCGAGACCAGGGTGCCGGGCACTGAGGACAGCAAGAGGCCACACTTGTGTGTGTGTGTGTGCGTGTGCACACAGGTGCACACTAAGTACACAGGTGTCTATGTGAACTATTTTTCACATACGTTGAGACCCATGGTGAAGTCCAACTTGTGATTCAGGTAGCGATCAGCAATGATAAGGAATAACAGAACAGTGATGGTCACCTTGTGTGACCAGAGTCCTGCCAGGGTGCGCGGCTCTCCCTCCCAGCAGGGCCCACTGTGTTTTGCCTTTTCCTTAAAGGAGGCACTTTGGACCCCTCTGTGGTGGGTCCAGTGGCCCACATGGCCACTCCCATGCTTGGGGCCTTGTTCCACGAGGTCGGGGCTGTGCTCTGGGAAGCTGTGGCATTCAGTGCATGGCCAAGGGGCAGGTGGCACACACAGCACGGAGGCACCCAGGTAGGGTGGGGGCTCCGATTCGCGTCCAGCCGGTGGGAGAAGGTGCAAGGCCAGTTAGGGGAGCACACATGCTTTGTTCAGAGGTGACCACAGCCATCGGCCAGCCCCAGCTTCGCTTCCGTCCCGACCAGTTCTGCTCAGCGCCCCCCAGTCTTTCCTTTAGGCCCTTTTCCGTGGAGCCAAACAGAGGAGGCACTGCCACCAGGCTGCAGGGGCCAGGCTCACAGGCTGACGTTCAGGACTCGGGTGGGTCCCTCCACGCAGCTGGTGGTCCCGGCCCTGGCCACACCACAGACCACACAGCCCCCGAGGCCTCGGCCGGGGCCTGACTCAGCCATTGCTGGGCCTCCCCCCACAGCTGAACTAGGGGATGCTTCTCCCCGGGCCAGGGGAGCGTGGGGACGGAGACTGCGTCACGCTGTGCAGAAAAGCTTGTTATTTACAATTTATGAGTCACCCATTTCTGGAATTTTCCGTTTAGTACTTTTGGACCATGCTTGAGTGAGGGTGTTAAGACCGAGGAGAGGAAGGCTGTGGGCAGGGGTTATTGTCCTGAAGAGCAGCAGCCCCTATTTTGGACGCCCAGTTGGTGAGGGGTTGGAAGTCCTGTGACGGAAGCCGGTTCCCAGGACTGATTGGTTAGAGATCCTCTGAGTCTGGTCTTGAATCAATCTAAGGAGGCAGGGGCCAGCTTAGCAGAAGGCTATGACAAGGAGGGGGTCAGGAAAGGAAGTGCCCCTGGAGAGGGCGGTTCTTAGCTGCCATCCTCCAGTTCCAGTGGCAGAGGGAAGCCTTGGGACCTGAAGGAGCTCGGAGATAAAGGGGACATGAGTAATGAAGTCCCTTGGTGGCAAGGAATCCCGCTCCTTCCCGAGAGCAGAGTGGGAGAGAAGAATGTGGGCAGCATATTTGGAGTCAGTGTGGACGTGGGGGAGGCCCCCTGTGCCCCAGGGAAGGCTCTGAGGAGGCGCCAAGCTCGGCCCGCCGACTGGACGTGTTGTTGGGGAGGGGAGCGGCTTCCACAGCCGATGTTCGAGAGACTGCAGCAGACCCTGCCTGGCAGACCCCCGAGGGAAGGAGCCATGTGTGGGCCACGGGCATGTTCCCTGGAGCAGGGGCCTTCCTGTGGGGGGGTGTGGAAGGAGCTCCTGCAGAGTTTAGTGCAGGAAAGGGTGAGAGGAGGACAGGGGGAGAGTCCTGAGGGCAGGGGAGCAGCGGGGTTTAAAGGCGAGCACGTGTGGCCAGTAGGACTGGCTCGTCCACCAGGGGAACCTGTGGAGACAAAGGTTGACGGGGGTAAGGAAGGTAGCCCTGGTGGGAGGGGAGTTCCTTTCGGGATGGGGAGCCAGGATGGTGAGTGGGGCCCCAAAGGTGGGTTTCTTTGACTCATTAATGAGTAGAGAGGCTGTGGCCAGTGTTCTCAGGCAAGGGGCCACCCCTAGATAGATAAGTCACGGGGCAAAGGTTGATCCCACATCATGGGTCCGAGAGCAAATCCCTGCTTTTTAGCCCCCTGAAGGTGAAACGGGCGTGGGAGGTCAGGGAGGTGGAGAGACAGAGAAAGTTTTGTTGTTCACTTAGTTGCAGTTGGACACATCACCTTTATTTTATTTATTTTTATGTGGTGCTGAGGATCGAACCCAGGGCCTCACATGCGCTAGGTGAGGGCTCCACCACTGAGCCCCAGCCCCCCACCCCTGCCCCAGAGAGAAAGTTTTGAAGTCCTCCTTCTGTGTTGTTACCAAGGGAAAAGTTAAATTGACACCCCCCGGGCCCCTGATCAAGCCTGCTGGCCCCGAGCTTTGTGTCTCATGTTAGCTTCCGCGTGGCCGTGGCCAGGGAGATGCTGCCCAGGGCTTTACAATGCAGGAGAGTTCTGGGTCCCTTGTTTGTCTAGAAGGAGGGTCTCTGGAGGAATCCGGCCATTAGTGGAAGTAGGAGCTGGGCGGGGGGAGGTGGGGGCAGGAGGAGCCGGGGAAGGCTCAGCGTGGAGAAAGGAGAGAGGCTGCTTGTGAGGGATCTCCTTCCACTTTCCTGAGCACTCGCAAAGTTATGAAGATGGGGAGGCGGAGAGGAGAGGCGTAGATGTGGGAGGGTGTCGCCGCTGTTTACCGGTGACGAGTCCTTGCTTCCCCTGGAAGGGGATGTGTTGGGTCTTCTTTAGTCCCCCCAGGTTCCTGTCGGGTTCCCTCTATCCTGCAGTGATGGGGTTCTGGGGGGGAGGCCCAAGCGGGAGACAGGTGGACCGATGGGGCGGAGGAGTAGTCTGGGCAGGACGGCTGGGGGTTTGATGAGCACTGTCCTGTTGCTGGGAGCTGCTTCATGAACAGTTCTCTAGGATGGCTTGGGGCCTTGGGGACACTAACATTTCGAATTCCCAGGTGTGGTTCTGGTTTCCTGGATTTTCTTTGTCCTACTCCGGTTAGACCCTGCTGATGCTCACTACCTACCTGTCTTTAAGTCTGGCTTCAAGGAGGAGGGAGGGGAGGGCGAAGTCACCTACCCAAAGGAGGCCAGAGTGAGGATGAAGAAGGAGCCCCAGGTGAATGGAGGAGGGTGTGTGCTAACTGCCCTGGGCCCGAGGCCAGGGTGGCGCAGGCCTGGTCACACACACACCTGGGACAAGAAGGGAGCTGAGGAGGCTGCCCTGCAGAAGGTGGGGGCAGCAAGGGGGAGAGCGGGGATTGTGACTGGGCAGAAAATGGAGGGCTTTGGAGACGATGTGAACGGGCTCATGGTGTGCTGTAAAGAATCTCAGGGAAAGAGGACACAGAGACAAGGTGCACAGGCAGGAGAGGTGGCAGTGGGGCTCTCTGTCCAGGCGGCCACCTTAGTCATTAGTACCGCAACCACTTCATTGCTCAGAGCACCAGGAAGGCTGCTTATGCCGAGTTACGCGTCACAGTTACCGTACGCAGGGCCAGGAGCTTTGCGCAGTCTCAGGGAGGTCACTGTGTGAAGTCACTGCTAGGCGGGCAGCTCCAGGAGCACCGGAGCCTGGGGAAGCCTTGTGGTTATCGATCAAGCAAGCTCCTCTGTTCCCAGGGCTGTGTGCCTAAGGTTAAGGTGGAAGCTGAGGAGACTCCAGCACGGAGGGCGTTGCCATAGCAACCGGGCATCCTGTGCCTTTGCACAGAAGCTTCCCCGGGCACCAGCAGGTCACAGCCGTGGAGTCATCAGGGACCCCATCCCGAACACAGAACCCCTACAGTGTGAGGCGAAAGAAGGGCTTGAAACATCCCAGACAGTAGGGTCCACCTTGGGCAGGGTAATGGGAGGCCCTGGCAGATGGACTAGGGGGTGGTCCTAAGGTGAGGGTGAGGATCAGGGGCGCGGCAGGTGAGTCTGGATGGAAGCGAATATGAGGGAGGAGGAAAGCGCAGCCCCCACCTTTGTGAGAATGTCTCTTCCCACAAGGGAACGGGCTGCTGTGGAGTGACCAAACAGGAGTGGGTGAAAATTGGACAGTCAAAGCCCAAACAAGGCTGGGTGTCTGTCAGGGCTGGTAAGGTTTGCCTTCCACCCCACAACAGAGGTCACAGAGGTCACAGTCTTTAAGGACTGAATATGTGGCCCCGGGGTCTAGGAGGAAGGGGACAGGTCCACCTGAACTAGGCAGAGTTACCCTGGGTTCCCATGGAGTGACGGCAGTGGTCGGCCATGGGACCTGGGCCTCGTCAGTCCACCAGGTGTCCGAGGAGGGACCAACCGGCCCAGGAGGGAAACAAAACAGGCCAGGCCTCCGGGCTGCTGGGGCTGCCACCGGGCAGCAGAGTCCTGAGCACAGGCCCAGCCTGCGCAGCCCTGGTTCCTTTTCCAGCCCCAAACACGACCGAGTGCTGGTCAGCGGCCAGACATGTCGCGAAGGGCCACTGCCCTCCAGCCTGGGGTCAGCGAGACCCAGTCTCTAAAATGAGGGTGGCACAAGCACAGGTGGGGGCAGCTGTCCCTGCTGTCTTCTTCTGAGGGGTTGTTTTCTGTGTGTTGTTTTCCCAGGAGATAAATAATTCCATTTTTGCATATTCGCGTGGAGAACAGGTATCACAGACTACTATTTATTCCTCCGAAAATGGAGGAATAAGTTTCACCAATTTTACCTTCAAAAACCAGGTATGTTCAATTGGGTAAGAAAGTGAAAATGATATATGTCTTACCTGTTGTCCCCGTTGCTCCAGAGACTGAGGCAGGAGGATGCTTGGCCAGCCTGGGGGACATGGTCACCAAAACATAAGCAAATAGATACTCACACTCAGGCACCTGCCTGCGTGATGGGCCGTGGGCTGGCAGAGGACGAGCAGCAGTCTCCTCTCTGCAGGATCTAGCTGGCTTGGGGGTGAGGGGACACTCCCAGGAAGTCGCACTGGGAAGGAAGGGGGTACGAACATGGCGCCCATGGTAGAGTACCTCAGAGAGCTGCACCACGTCCGCCCACCTCCACCCAGACAGTGCCCTCAGCCACCACCGTGGCACCCACTTCACAGGTGGGAGAACTAGAGTGGGTAGGATCGTGTCCCCTGAAGATGCACGTCCCTCCGGACTTCAGAAGTAACAGCCTTAGGCCATCTGTGTCCTGTGCAGTTACCCCAGACTGGGTGACTGGCCAGGAAGAGAAGCTGCTCCCAGCCCTGGGGGCCGGGCCGCCAGGCAAAGGCTCTGGGGGGACTGGCCTCTGGCCAGGCTGCTCTCTGCTTCACAGAGGGCGCCATGGTGCCCCTGTGCTGCTTCAGCCCCGGGACCGACCCTGTGTCCTCACGTGGCAGGAAGAGCAGGGAGGGAGGGCAGGCAGGAAGGGCAGGGAGGGAGGGCAGGCAGGAAGGGCAGGGAGGGAGGGCAGGGAGGGAGGGCAGGGAGGGAGGGCAGGCAGGAAGGGCAGGGAGGGAGGGCAGGGAGGAAGGGGAGGGAGGGAGGGCAGGGAGGAAGGGGAGGGAGGGAGGGCAGGGAGGGAGGGCAGGGAGGGAGGGAGGGCAGGAAGGGCAGGGAGGGAGGGCAGGGAGGGAGGGCAGGAAGGGAGGGCAGGAAGGGCAGGGAGGGAGGGCAGGGAGGGAGGGCATGAAGGGCAGGGAGGGAGGGAGGGCAGGCAGGGAGGGCAGGGAGGGAGGGCAGGGAGGGAGGGCAGGCAGGGAGGGAGGGCAGGCAGGGAGGGCAGGCAGGGAGGGCAGGCAGGGAGGGCAGGGAGGAAGGGGAGGGAGGGAGGGCAGGCAGGGAGGGCAGGGAGGGAGGGCAGGGAGGGAGGGAGGGCAGGCAGGGAGGGCAGGGAGGGAGGGCAGGGAGGGAGGGCAGGCAGGGAGGGAGGGAGGGCAGGCAGGGAGGGCAGGGAGGGAGGGCAGGCAGGGAGGGAGGGCAGGGAGGGCAGGGCAGGGAGGGAGGGCAGGGCAGGGAGGGAGGGCAGGGAGGGAGGGCAGGAAGGGCAGGGCAGGGAGGGAGGGAGGGCAGGAAGGGCAGGGAGGGAGGGCAGGGAGGGAGGGCAGGCAGGAAGGGCAGGGAGGGCAGGGAGGGAGGGCAGGCAGGGAGGGCAGGGAGGGAGGGCAGGGAGGGAGGGCAGGGAGGCAGACCTGTCGCCCCTGCGGCAGGCGAGCAGGAGAGGGGAGGGCGACTTCTTCAACCCGAGCCCTGGCAGGAGGATGGAGCCCCTGCCGCCACCTCACAGAGCCCGCTCCTCACGGTCCTTGCCGAGGAGGAAGATTCAACTTGAATCTCAGAGGACACTGGCGGGCGTTCGTGCCCAGTGGTCATCCGACTGGGAAATGGGGTGTTGGCCCTGAGACGAGTCCAGGTGGTGTGCGCAGCCGGATGGAGTAGGTCGCGCCCCAAGTCCAGGCTGGTGTCCTGGTAGAGGAGAGGACCTGGGAGGATCCACAGAAGGCCCTGGGACAAGGGGCCGGTTTCTGGTGTCAGAGCCTGGGGACACAGGACGCAGCTTCTTCCTCGGAGGCTCTGGGTGCTCCTGATTAGCTGGCACCTTGATTTCAGACTCTGAGCATCCGGAACTGTGCCAACAGATTTCTGTTGTCTTCATGTCTGCTGTTCTGAATGCGGTCTTCTGCCGTGGCAGCCATTGGAAATGAACCCAGGGGCTAAGGCTCAGAGAAGGGCACTGCCCTTCCTAAGGTCACACAGCATGGCAGAGCAGTTCAGAGGACAAGAGCCCCTCAGGCCACCAAGGGCGTGGGAAGTTCTGGTGTGACTCAGAAGGCACACTTGGGGGTGTGTCCAGAGGAGTCTGGCCCGCTGCTGCGCTCCCCAACATCCCAAATCTGTTTTCTCTGCCCTACCAAGAAGCCCCGCAAAACCCAGAACTGAGCTGGCCACACATTTTCATTCAAAATGAGTCCTGGAAGGACCTGGTCACAAGATAAGAATGAACCTTGGGTTTGGTCGCAAATGCGCATCACTGAGGTCCCTGATTATTAACCAAACGGTTTCCCTCTTCCCTCCCCATGCCTCGGTATTGTTTTTCCATGGACTTCTCGACAGGAAGGTACCTCCGCTCAGGGACTATCTGGGCTCAGGGCCACTGAAGCCAGGACAAGAGCCGACCTCTGTTTCTGTTGACAAGTGTACGCGTGGGTCTCCTGACTCTCCTTCGCGGTCTGATTGCCCCTTGTCCCCCTTCCCCAAAGCCAACAACGGGCCTATCCTGCATCCACACTGGCATGGTGGCCTGTGGGTCACTGAGGGTGACGTCTGGGCTCTGATCCTCCCTCTCTCGTCCCAGACTGTGGCCCTGATGACATTAGCACACATGGCAAGGTGAGCCGTCCTTGCCCTGCGGGAGGAAGGTGGCAGACGTACTCTGTGGACTCACTTCTGGAGACGGGCCCACCCACCCGTTAGCCAGGGCGGTCACATGCCCCCCAGCCCGGGCAGTGCCCCTGGAGCTGAGCTCTCAGGCTGATCTGCTCCCCGAGATGAGGTTCCTGGAGGTTCCGCTGCCAGAGAAGAGGGGGCGGTGCAGCTGGTGGGAGGCGCTGCTCCGAAGAGGTCGGCCCAGGAGCTCCAGGGTCCCAGAGGCCTCGCTCCCACACAGGACGGCCCGGACCTTGGTCTCCTGCTCCGGTGGCTGCTGGACGCTTCTCTGGACAGCCAGAAGCTGGGAAGGAGGATCCACCCGGCGTGGAAGCCCAGGCAGCTCCTGGGGCCGGGGCCGCGTGGGGTCCTCCAAACGCCCACACCAGAGCCGCCTTCCTCCAGGACCTGCTCCTCTGTCACAGACAGGAAGTGGGTCTAGAAAGAGAGGCTTTCATTATAGCTTCTAAGATAACGTGCACTTAAAATGAGAACGAAGCACGCATCGTCACAGCAATGGCTGTGTGCGCTCACGGGGACTGTCTTGTGCTTCACAGGCGGGACTGGCCGGGTCTCTAGGGGGAGTCTTCTACTTCCATTCCTTGTCACAGATCGGGCTGCTGCTCGTGAACAGTGGGAAGGTAGGCGACTTGGCCCTCCTCCCCCCGGTGCTGGGCCTGGTGCCTGCCGAGCACCAGGGCTGAAGGGCGAATGTGGCGCCTGTGGCGCTGGAAACTCTTAACGTGGATTCAGAAAGTCCGTGCATGAAACCTGTGGTGGATTCACAGGCGCCATCCCGGGTGAGACTGAGTTGGGACGATGGTTCTGCCTGTGCAAAATGAAGCTCAGACTCAGATTTAGTGGGTTAACCCCAGGTTTTGCCAGGCAGTGAAGGGGGTGCGCAGCCCTGGAGTTCTGGGAGAGCCAGTCCCCAGGAGCTGCTGGTAGGGAGATGAAGGAATAAACAGCCCTTGTCCCCATCGGGAGGCTTCCCACAGGGAGCAGGTGGCGAGGGGAGGGGCATCCTCTGAAAGGTCTCCAGGCTTGAGCAGAGGTCTCAAGGTGGCCCATCCCAGAGAGGAGTCGACCAGGAAGCTTGGAACAGCCCCCGTGTAAGGGACCAGCCCCCAGCCCCCCGCCCTGTGCTCTGTCTCCTTTGGCGCCATCACACTGCGGTTAGGTGGTGTTTCTCGTCCTCTCTTCCTTGCTCCTGGTCTGGGAGCTCAGACTCCTGTGATCAGGATCAGTGGAGAGGTCAGGAGATGGTGCTGTGGCTCAGTGGTGAGGTGCCCTGGGTTCAGTCCCCAGTACTGAAAACGAAACAAACAGAAAAGAGCAGGAAAGAAGGTGCCCGACCCGATGGCACACTCCTGCGATCCCAGGGACCTGGGAGGCTCAGGCAGGAAGATTGCAAGTTCAAGGCCAGCCTTAGCAACTTCGCGAGACCCTGACTCAAAATGAAGACTGCAAAGGGCTGGGGTGTGGCTCTGGGGTGGAGAGTCCCCAGGTCCAGCCCCCAGTTCTGAAAACCAAAGAACTGTGGTGCCTTCAAGCCAGGCCGCAGGTGTCCAGGGCTTTTCCAGGCCAGACCCCCTGGGGGAGTCGAGCCTCAGAGACGCTGGGAGGCGCTGAGTCGAGGCCTCGGCCTCCTGGCTGCCCGCGCTCTCATGGGACTCGGTTCCTTTGTCTGAAGACTCTTTCGCGTGCCTGTGCCAGGTCCCCAGTGGGGCAGGAGGCAGAACCTGGCTGACCCAGGGCTTTCCATTCCCAGCCCTCTACCCTGCCCTTGGCCTCTGGGTCCAGAAGGCCACAGCGCCCTTCTTTGCAGTGCTCCCTACAGGGACATGACCGGGGGCCACTGGGCCAGTCCTCTTGGCTCCCGCCTGTGCGCCCCTGTGGGGAAAGTGCCATGGGTCATGCGTTCCCGTGTGGGAGGGCCCAGCAAGCGCAGACTGAGTCTCGCCTTTTGGCTTGGTGCTTGGTGCTTCCCTGGCTCCTCTGACCACCGTCTGGCAGTGCCAGCCACAGTCCCTCGAGGCACCGTGGGGGTGAGTGAGGGCTGCAGACCCACTCTGTCTCTCAAGCACCCTGCAGGCCCTGGAACGCAGCACTTCTCCTGCCCAGGGCTGGTCTGTGTCCTCCAGCGGCTGGGTGGGGGTGGCAGGCCGGGGTGGGCAGACCCAGAGCAGGGTCGGCAGTCCCCTGGGATCTCTGCACTGTGCGTCTCCTGGGGGACGGCGTATGTGTCGGTGGGGCCACACGGCAGGATGCTGTGTGTTTGCTTGTTGGGGTGATGGGTGGTGGCAGTGCTGGGGATGTGCCCCGGCCTCATGCTGTGTGGGCGCTGCACCTGGACCACTCCCCTGCCCTTTCCATTTCCATGCTTTCTCTGTTTTGGGGAGCCCCATCCCCAGGCCTTTTCATTTTTTAATTCGAGACAGGGTCTTGCTAAACCACTCAGGGCCTTCCTGAGTTGCTGAGACTGGCCTCAAGCTTGCAGTCCTCCTGTCTCAGCCTCCAGAGTCACTGGGATGCCAGGCGTGGTCAGGCTGACATTGTGCAATAGGGACTCTGACCCTGTCCTGGGAACTCTGTGACGGGCAGATAGGAAGCGACTTTGGAAACCGCACAGTGGAAGAGCCAGCCCCTCACAGGGATTTTAGGAATAGAAGCTAAATTGCATGTGCCAGCGATTTGGAGGAGAGAGGGACCAGCTAGGGAAACCGTCTGGATGCCAGTCCATGTGGCCCAAACGTGCAGCTTCTCGGGCTGCCCTGCCATGGCAGAGCCTGTGAGCAGGCCGAACACCGGGACAGCCTCGCCCTGTAACACCCCGCCTCGCAGTGACCAGTCCAGTCCTCGAGGCCTCGATGTAGGCATTTGTCCCTTCCCAGGTGGCCTGGTTACCTCCCCGTCTCCCCCATCTCTGCCTCAAAGGCTGCAGCCTCCCGAGGGCAGAGCGCAAGCCCAGCACAGCAGGGACCACAGGGCCCGCCCAGCAGGCAGGGGGAGGTTCCTGCCCTGGTGTGGTGGGCATGGGCCAGGCCCATCTCTGGGTGGGCGTCCTGGGTGCCCGGGTGTTGCACCGCACACAGGAGCCCCCCAGTCCCCACAGACCCCCAGACGTGGCCCAGTGTTGCCTGGGAGGAAGAGTCTTCCCCGGTGGAGATCCCGGGCCGAGACCTGCTGGCCTTCACGAGGAGGCCGAGGTTGGAGGGACAAGTTCCACTGACCACAGGTGGTGTGTGCGTGTGGTAGGGGGTCAGGGCCTCCCGCGTGCTGCTGGGCACTGCGTGTGCGACCCGCGGCTTGCCCACACGTGGCTTCTGTCCCCGCGACGGGACTCTCTAGGGAGTGTTCGTGTACTCGGAGCAGCCTCTCGACCGGAACCTGGGGCTGGCTTTCAACTACGACACGACCCTGGACGTCTTCCTCTGCCCCGGCCTGAGAGGCTTTCTGGTCCTCTGGTCTGAGAAGACCCTCTTGGTTTCCCCCAACTCAGGTGAGCGGGCTGCGCTCTCGGCCTGCAGGATGCGGGGCCCGGACGGGGAACAGAGCCAGGTCCCCTCGGCAGGACCCAGGTGGACGCCGCAGGTTCTTGCTGCACTGAAACCCACCCGTCCTCCCCAGTTCCCTGGCCGGCTCTGGAGGGCAGGTGGGCAGGTTCTGAAAGCCCCAGACTCTGCAGGCACAGGGTCTGAACTTCGACCAGGAAACCTCAGATCTTGTCTTGGGGCCACAGTCAGTGATTCCACGAGGTCGGCGGGGCTGTCGCCCTTGTTATAGCATCCAGGATGGACGAGGGACCTCCCCAGCAGAGGGACAGTGGGGGTTGGCCAGCACCTGCAGCGCCGTGGTTGTGGCTCAGCCCTCCACCGCCAGGGATCCGAGGGGAGGGCCTCTGGATCACTTGGGCTGGGGGCACACAGCCACATCCTAAGGCACAGAGCAGCTGGGGACGTGGGCTCAGGCTGGCCACCCATTTTGGAAGCCCACCACAGGAAGAAGGCACTGCTTTGAGGTTTTGTTGGTGCTGGGGGGGGGGGGAACCTGGGCCTCTGGCATGGTGGACACACACCCAGCTGAAAAGCTCTGTTTCGTCCCTTATTGACACTGTCTCTATTAAAAGGCCTAAGCTGAGTGCAGAGGCCACACCTGTCATTCCAACATCTCAGGAGGCTGAGGCAGAAGGATCAAGGTTCAAGGCCAGCCTCTGTGATTTAGCAAGGCCCTGCCTCAAAATATGAAGGGTGGGGGCCTAGAGCACCGGTGGGCTCCATCCCTGGAACTTCAGAGGAGTAAAACAGAAAAAGAGCAAGGTCACCACTGGAGGGCAGGAGGGTGGTGGCAGGGGTGGCCCTGGTCTCAGCACTGGGGATGCTCACGGGTCCTCATGACTCTCCCCTGTCCCCTCCTAGGTCAGCTCTTCCAAACTGTCCAGGTGCACAAGGGATCCCAGGTTCTGTCCACTTCCATCTCCAAACTCAACATCTCCATCCACAGCATCACTGCCAGTGCGTGCCTGCCCTACCGGTACCTTCTAGAAAGCTCCATGCCCGGCCATTAGCCAGTGACCTGCCTGACGCAGCCCAGCCACAAAGCAGACACACACGGGGAAGACACAGCTTGTGCCTCAGCGACGGCACGGGGTCAGCTGGGCACCACCCTGGGGCTGCCAGAACCAAGAGCCACAGACTGGGCGGCTCTGACCCCCGAAGTCTGTCCCCCGCTCTGCCGCCCAGGGCCTGCTGGGCCAGCCCTCTCGGCAGCCTCCAGGCAGGTCTCCACTCCCAGCTCCGGTAGCCTTGGCTGAGCCTGTACCTGCAGGTGGCCATCCTCCCTCTGTCCCTTCTGTCTCTGGATCCAGAGTTCCCCTTTTCACAAGGTCCCTGGTGATATGGGACCAGGGCACCCCCACGACCTCATTTTACCAAGGTCACCTCTGCAAAGACCCGATTTCCAAATGCAGATGTTTCTCAGGTTGTGGTGGGGTCCAGCGAGCCGGCCCTAAGCCCACCCACTGAAGCTGCGGCCACCGTAGCCCCAGAGGCTCCCTGTGCCCCTACCACCCCTGGGGAAAATGGGAAAGATCACGGGTGAAGCCATCGCAGGTCCAGGGCGTCTGCAAAGCCACACTTGGCTCCTGGGTTAGGACCCAAACATCTGTCTCTGAAGACACAGATCACGGGCTGGGGTTGTGCTCAGTGGCAGAGGCTCGCCCAGCAAGCACGAGGCATGGGGTTCGATCCTCGGCCCCACATACGTGTAGAATAAAGATACTGTGTCCACAAAAAAAAAAAAAAAAAAAAAAAAAAAAAAAAAAATATATATATATATATATATATATATATATATATATATATCAAGCAACTCGCCCCGACTCCAGCGTCCTTGGGCATGCTGGCTGGGCCACTGCTGTCCTGGGGCTGTCCTGTGCTCCATCTTTGGAGGAACCGGTTCTGTCCAATAAGTGAGATTTGCCAGGACAATTTTCCCCTGAGACAGTTATCAGCTCAGAGACTCTGAGGCAATCAGTGAGAAAATTTGCAGGACCACTTGACTTTTTAAGAAAAGCCAGTGCTTCCCGTTTGCTAATTATGCATTGCATCCTATCCTCTGTGTCCATTTATCTGTTTAAAATTAATTTATAATTAGAGAAATTAGTTATATAAGAAATCCAGGGGGGCTGGGGGTGTGGCTCAAGCGGTAGCGCGCTCGCCTGGCGTGCGTGCGGCCCGGGTTCTATCCTCAGCACCACATACAAACAAGGATGTTGTGTCTGCCAAAAACTAAAAAATAAATATTAAAAAAATTCTCTCTCTCTCTCTCTCTCTCTCTCTCTCTCTCTCTCTCTCTCTCTCTCTAAAAAAAAAGAAAGAAATCCAGGGCTGGGGTTGGGCTCAGCGGTAGAGTGCCCGCCTAGCATGTGTGAGGCCCTAGGCTCGATCCTCAGCACCACATAAAAAAATAAATAAATAAAATAAAGGTCTATCAACAACTAAAAACATATTTATTTTTTAAAAAACTAACGGTGCATGGTGCTTTTCTTTCTTTTTGTTTTTGTTTTTTTTTGTTTTTCCCTAGGACTGGAAAAAATGGAACCCCGGCTTTGCACGTGCTAGACATAGAGCCCCATCAGCCCTGGTCAGCTGTTACTCAAGATAGGGTTTTGCAAGGTTGCCAAGGCTGGTCTCCAATGTGCCATCCTCCTGCCTTGGTCTCCCAAGGACCTGGGATTACACCCACACCATCCAATTTCCTTCCTTTTTTTTTTTTAAGAGAGAGAGAGAGAATTTTAATATTTATTTTTTTAGTTTTCGGCGGACACAACATCTTTGTTTGTATGTGGTGCTGAGGATCGAACCCGGGCCGCACGCAGGCCAGGCGAGCGTGCTACCGCTTGAGCCACATCCCCAGCCCCTCCTTCCTTTTTTCAATACTTATTTTTTAGGTGTAGATGGACACAACACAATGTCTTTATTTTTATGTGATGCCGAGGATGGAACCCAGGTCCTGCCCATGCTAGGCGAGCGCTCTACCGATGAGCCACAATCCCAGTCCCCAATTTCCTTCCTTTGTAAGGCCAAATAATATTCCATTGTATGGCTGGACCACATTTCCTTCATTTTTTTGTCAATAGACTTTGGGTTGTTCCACATCTTGGGTTTGTAAATCATGCTGCAGCGGATGTGAAAGTAGGGAAAGGCCAGTCGAAGCTAAGGAGGGCTGTGGCTGGCGGAGAGCGCTTGTCTAGCCTGCAGGAGGCCTGGGTTCCATCCCCAGCACCGCAAAAAAGAAAACAAAAAACCACCCTAGTGAGACACAGCCCACTTATTTGATGGCTGTGATCAGGAAAAAGGACAGAAGGAAAAAGGCAGGAGCCCAGCTTGTGCCTGTTACCTAAAGCCACGTGCGGGCTCCAGAGGTGTCTGTGGGGTGGCTGCCGTGGGTCATCGGGAGGGCGCTCGCTGCAGCACTCAGAGCAAAGCTACGAGGCTTCTTCTGTTCACGGAGAGGCCACCACCCGGGTCTGCCTGTCTGTCCTAGATGAGCACACGCTGGCCGTGCTGACCAAGGAGGATGCTCTGTACTTCGGGAGTCTGGAATTCCTGTCCAACTCTATCATCCAGGTGGGTGACAGTCGAGTGGCCACAGCCCCCTCCCCTCCTCTGCTTGCTCTCCGGTCGGGGAGGCCAGAGGCCAGCTCCTCGGGACTATTAAAATAGCAGCAGCGGGAGGCGAGACCCCGAGCACCTAGGGAGGAGCAGAGCCGGCCCCCTGCGTCTGTGGGTGTGGGAGACGCTGGACTTGGGTTTAAAGTCAGCCGATGCACGTTGATGCACACGTGCGTGTATGGAAAGACACGTGTGCAGGGGATGTGTGTGCACTTCGGCTTGTTTATTTATATGTGTGCTGAGCCGCATGCTCCAATGTGTGTATTCAGTGGGCGACAGGCCAGCGTCATTGGCTGTCCATCACCTCGGCCATCCATTTTTCCTTTGTGTCAGAAACACTCAAAATCCTCCTTACTGGACTGTGTGTGTGCGTGCGCGTGTGTGTATGTGTGTGCATGTGCGTGTGTGCGCGTGTGTGTGTGTGTGTGTGTGGTGCTGGGGCGGACCCAGGGCCTTGTGCCTGCTGGGCGAGCCCCCTGCCCACTGAGCCCCAGCCCCTCCCTGCTCGCACTTTTGAACCCTCCTCCCACCCACCTGCACTCCCCGGCCCCTGCCCAGGCTCTGTCCCCTGTCCCCTGTCCCCCTGTGAGGTCCCCTTCAGTCCCGGCTGTCACCTTGCCCAGAGTCCTCGGTGAGCCCTGTGGGGAAGTCACTTCTGCTGCCCCATCTGACAGGTGGAGAAGCAGGGTCCACGGCCCGGCCAGCCCGGCCACCAGGCCACAGGGGCGCTGCGTGGGGCCTCCCAGTGTCTTGCCCGGCAGGCCCTCCTCCACTGCCGTGTTTCCCATGCTCCCCTCTGTCCCCCCCAGGCTTCCCAGAAGTTCCTGGTGGTGACTACAGAGAGTTAATTGGGTTGAAGCACAAATGTGAGGACCATTTCTTTGAGGTCCCCATGGTGGCATCCAGGGCTATGGTGTCCTGGGGACAAATTCTGTAGCTGCCTTTGACTCTCCCAAGAGGCTGGTGCCCTGTGGCCAGGCGAGACTCCTGGCCACCTCCCACAAGGCCCCCCAGGCTGGGAGCCCCAGAGAGCAGCTCCCGTGGGACCCAAGGCTTTGCCTTTCGGGGAGGGGGGCATCTCTAATTCCAAGCCACAGGATAAAACCGCGTCTTACCTCAGACCTGCCTCCCCTAGCTGGCCGAGGGGTCCGTCTGGTTCCCAGAGGCAGTGCTGATGTTCTCCGGGGTGGGGATGCTGGACATCCTGACGCCGCTTCCCGACGCCGCCTTCCCCACCTTCGACATGCAGAAGTGCCCGATCAACATCCAGGCCATCCTCATGGGCCCCGGCCTCCAGGTGAAACAGTGCAAGGTGCACGGCCCGACGCCGAGCTGTGGGCCTGGGGAGGGGGCCGGGCTCAGCCCCAGCACTGGGAAAAGATCCAGAGGTGGAGGCCACGGCCAGCAGGCCCGGGAAGTCCCCGAGAGGGTTCCAGGAGGGACGGGAGCACACGTGACAGGCGGGCTTCTGGTCAGCTGAGTCTGCCAGCCCTGCACCCCAAGTCTCCTCAGGAGCACCTCCATGTCCCTGTCGCAGAAAGGAACAGATGTTACTCTCATGTTTTCCTCTCATTCTTTATTTTTTATTTTTGCAGCGCTATCCCTATGTTAAGTTTTTTAAATTAATTTTTTAAAATTAATATTTTTTTAAAAGAGAAAATTTTTTCATATTTATTTTTAGTTTTCTGTGGACACAACATCTTTATTTTATTTGTATGTGGTGCTGAGGATCGAACCCAGCGCCCCGCACATGCCAGGCGGGTGCGCTACCGCTTGAGCCACATCCCCAGCCCCCCAAATTAGTATTTTTGATAATATTTTTTGTGGGATCCAGGATTGAACCCAGGGGTGAGCGACACCCCCAGACCTTTTTGTGTTTATTTTAAGGCAGAGCCTCACTAAGTGCTGAGGCTGGCCTTGAAGTTGTGGTCCTCCTGCCTCAGCCTCCTACTTGCTGGCCCGCAGGCCATGTCCTTCCCCAGACCTCCTGCACCTTTCCACTGGGTGAGCAACTGGTCTCCTGACAAAATGATCCTGTCTAAAAGCATGAAGCAGTCCTTCTGGCCACCCAGCGAGGGAACAGAGAGGCTCGGAGGACAACAGTGGTTTACGTTAGAGAGCAGGCGCCACACTGGGCGCTCACATCACCCACCACGTCCCACCAGCGCCATCAAACCCAAGTCCACTGGGTCGCCTGGATCCTGCCATCGAGTTTCCCAGAAACGCCGAGGGCAAAGGAACATGTTCAGCCATCCCAGAGAGCTCTAGGCTCACCCCAACAGCCAGGGTTCCCCAGAGATATGCAGAAAGGGAACTAAAGAAATAAAGGGGACCTGTTGGTGGCAGGCGTATTAGCTGGCTTTTCGTTACCATAATGAAATACTAGAGGCAGGTTATGTTTTGGAAAAAAAAAAAGAACTGGTTTATTTTTTTGGCTTCTGGTTTGGAGGTTGGACTCCAAGTGTAGCTTGGATTCTGGGAAGGGCCTCCCTAGCTGCATCAGATGGTGGCAGAGGTGTGTGGTCTCCATTTCTGTCCTGATAAAGCCACCAGGCCTCCGGTCATGGGGCTCCATCCTAGTGACCTGTCCCATCTAGTCACTTCCCAGAGGCCCCACCTCTGTGCCTCGTGGGATCAGGCTTCCACCTCCTCAATACCATCGGCATTGAACTTTGGGGATTAAGCTCTGCCGGATTTCCGGGAGACAAATCATATTTGGATCATAGCAGACAGAGACCTCAAAGAGATGACCATGTCCAGCAGAGCCAGGAGGCGCAGGAACGCACATCCAGGCAGCAGCACGCTGGAGATGCACAGGAAGCGGCTGGGGGGCAGGGAGGGTTCCCGGGGCTGGCGGGGAGGACAGCGGCACAAGTGGAAGTCCAGGTGACCCGCCCAGCCAGACCTGGGCTCCATCCCCAGGGCCCCTGCGTCAATTACCACTCACCGCCCCTTCTTTTTGGAAGTAGGGGCTGACCCTTTCATCCTGTCTTCCTGACCAGATAGAACTTCTGGAAAGCAGATTAGAATCTGAGATGTACACCATTGACATGAACAGCAAACTGAACTTGTCCTTCACATTGATACCCCGGCTGGGCATGTCCCCCATTCCACTGGTGAGTGAGTCTCTGATGCCCCTGACGGTCAGCGCTAGGCCACTGCCTTGGCAGCGCCCAGGCTGTGCCCAGACTCTGGACGCTCCTGGCGTCACCCGGGGACAGAGGCCTCTTCAGGTGACTGTGAGACCCTCTGCAGGTGACTCCACAGCCAGCCTCTGTGCTGAGTTTGTGGCTGACCAGGCCCTTCCCCACCCTTCACCGAGCAGCCCCAGGCGAGTCCCACCCAGGGGAGGTGCTGGGCAAGGCAGGAGGGTTCCAGGACCCACGCCCAGGCCCTGCACCTGGACCTGGATGCAGGACATCAAGCTGAGGGTGGGGACCGCGTGCCTGAGGTGGCGGGAAGGTAGTGGGCCGCCTGCAGGACCCCTCTTAGCTCTGTGCGGGCTCTTCGGCTGGATCCAGGCATCCAGCATCTGAGGGATGAACGGAGAAGAGCGCGAGCTGGGAATTTTCCCTGTAGTTGGGATCTTCAGAAGTCAGCGAGCTCTGAGCAGTGAGGGGAGTGCCACGCTTTGCTTTCAGGCGTCCTCTGTGACCTAGGGAGGACTAGCCGGGGATGGACCTCTGCCTCAGGGGAGTGAAATCGGGGTGTTAGGACATGGGGCGAGGGGCTGTGGAAGCTTGTGGACGTCAAGCTTACATCAAAGAGTTTGTGCAGCTTCGCGGCAACCCGGCCACCAGTCCAGTGGTCAAGGCGGCCTCCTGGCCTTAGTCTGTCAAGGACGCCCCTCCCCAGAGTTCTTCTTTTTTTCTTTTGGAGACAAGGTCTCACTAAGTCGCGCAGGCTGGCCTCAAGCTTGTGATCCTCCTGCCTCAGCCTCCCGAGTAAGCTGGGATGGCAGACGAGGCTGCCTCTTTGAGATGGCAGGCGCATGACCCCTCCCAACCCAGGCCTGGGACCAGGGCTGCCTCTGCTCTCCCCAGGGGTCCCTCCCCCCACCTCCTCTACAGGAAAGGCCTGGGTCGCCCAGCTGCAGCCACCTGCAGAGTGGCACTGAGGTCCAGCAGAGGGTGGGTGGACGAGGGCACGTGGCAGGGCATGGGACCAGCAACCGCAGTTCAGGGCGAGGCTGGTCTTCACCTGAGGAGGACGGGTCCCCTGCGCTGGCCTGCTCGGGCTGCTGGCTCTAACAGCCGCCCCCACCGTCTCGCTCCCCAGGTGATGGTGAGTAACCCCTACTCCCTGGGGCTGCAGGCCTCCATCTACGAGGAGGCTGACAACACCTTCGACGGCAACATCGTGTACAAACTGGTAAGTCCCAGCAGTCAGGCTGGGGGACCTCGGGCCTTCATGGAGGGAACCTCCCTCCTGCTTCCCTTGCTTGCACATACAGAGGGTGAAGCATCGGGGAATTGGGTGGATGCACCCCTGCCCCTTGTTGGCAGGGGACAGGCAGCTGTCACCCACACGTGACCTCATCACAACCTCACATGGGAGCCTGGCAGGACAGCCTGGCAGGGAGCCTGGCCAGCCCAGGCAGGGCGCGAGCCCCGGGCAAGGTGGGTCAACTGAGGCATCAGGATTGGGCCACACCAGGGAGGGACTCAGCCCAGCAGTCTGGGACCCGTTGTGCGTGTGCACCCGTCAGGCCTCGCGGTCACCCCCTGCAGTGTGGACTGGACCCAGCGCTAGGGAAGCAGAGGGCAGATTGCACGGGGCCTGCCAGTGTGACTGGCTGCAGGGAAGTCCGGTCCAGCCGGCCCCATCACACCTAGGGGACTGGGACCTGGCTGCTCCAGGGACAGACACCGCCAGGGAGTGGGTGCTCTCAGTTCGGGCAGCACCCTGGAGCTTCCAGGAGCCGGGCCCCCAAGGGCAGCCTGGCCAGGGGGCTGCGGGGCTCTGGGGTCCTCCCAGAACCCCCTCTCCTCAGCTCTCCTCCTTCTGATCGGGGGACATCCGGGAGCCCTGCTCCAGGTGGGGCCTTTTCCTTGGTTCCTAGGACATTGACCTCAAGCAGCAGCACCACTGGGGCAGGGCCTCCCCCAACTTCACCTCCAGGTATGTGGCCGTCTGGAAGAGGAGGGGCTCCTGCTGGCTGCCGGGGTTCCCTGGGAGAGAGACAAGGCTGAGCTGGACCCCAGCTCAGGACACCGGGATGAGAACAATTGCAAACGCTTTGCAAAGTAAACAGAATTAGCACACGCGGGGGCCGCCGTCCCGCTGAGGGTTCTCCCCAAAGAACTGAGAGCAGGTCTCAAAAGGACGTGTGTGGCCAGCGTGGGCAGCGGCAGCTCCCCGAGCCCAGGTCCGCGCTCAGAAAGTGGGAAACCCGGAGCGCAGCAGTGGTGCTTGGTGACATGAGCCGGGCACAGAGGGCATGCAGCGGGGTCCACTCCCGGGTCCACCACGGGCAGCGTGGGGAGCAGGCGGGGGGGGGGGGGGGGGGGGCCGCGGCCCAGGCACCGAGTCGGGCCAGGGTGGGGACGGGGGTGGCCGCGCCCCTGAGCTGCGCCCGCAGACGCGGCTGGTGTGTCCAGCCTTGAGCTATCTGGATTTTACCCCCGTGAAAAACGAATAACTAAATATTAAATGAGCACATCACAAAGAAGGGCTGGGGGCGGGGCCGAGCTGGCGGGGGCGGGGCCGAGCAACAGAAAGGAGGGGCCAAATAAAGGACCCTCAGAATTCCTGAGCTGCAGGGCGAGTGGGGAGCCTCAGGGATGCCAGTTATAGAGGTTCACAAATTCATTCATCCATTAAACATTTACATCTCAGGAAATGTGCACCCCAGGCACTTCTACCCTTAGGGGACCTGAATGACAGGGAGATGAAGGCATAGTTACCAGGGAGCCCGAGGAATAATAAGAAAGAGTCACGAGCAGGAGCCCGTACACCTGGAGCTTATTGGATAGAAGGGAAGGGTATAAAGATGCAGATGCGGCGGCTGTTCAGAGACGGATTTGACAGGAACACCCCGCAGTCCCGATTGAGGGTCCCACAGGGGGCGCAGAAGCTGGTGGCAGAGCCGCGAGTCCGAGTCCGGGCTGGCTCAGCGGTGACACGCTGACGTCAGGGGTGGTTTTAACAAGTAATGGCCCTGCCGGGTGTCTGCGGCCATGGTGGACTGCCCAGGGCTGGGCGACTGCAAAGAGCAGACGACTCCTCCTGGTTCTGGAGGCCGGAAGCCCCAGGCCAGGGTGCTGGTGTCTGGTGATGACCTTCTCACTGTGTCACCCCACGGTGGGAGGGGGCAGGCTGGAGAGCCCGAGCCCCAGCCAGTGACGGGGCAGGCTCACGGTGGTTCCCAGTCCCTGCGCGAGCGGACCCCCCTCCCCCGGAAGCAGTCACTCATCCTGCTGAGCTAGTGGCTTCTCCTCGGCCCCCACCTGGCGAAAGTGTTGCCTTGGGGACTAGGTTTCCAACACCTGAGCGTTGGGGGCACATTCAATCCACAGCAGCTAGGCGACAACCAACAAAACTGACACAGGAAGAGGTGGAAACTTGAGAGAAATTAGGCCTCCACCTGAGCAGAGGTTCTCAGCATTTAGGGATGGGTGGATGGGTGGGTGGATGGTGGATGGGTGCATGGGTGGGTGGATGGGTGCATGGGTGGGTGGGTGGGTAGATGGTGGATGGATGGATCCGTGGATGATGGGTGGGTGGGTGGGTGAGTAGGTTGATGAATTAGGTGGATGGGTGGGTGGGAGGATGGATGAGTGGATGGGTGGGAGGGTGGGTGGGTGAGTGGGTGGATGGATTGGGAGATGGATGGTGGGTGAGTGGGTGGATGGATGGTGGACGGGTGGGTGGATGGGTGGGTGGGTTGATGGATGGGTGGGTGGGTGGGTGAGTGGGTGGATGGATTGGGAGATGGATGGTGGGTGGATGGATGGTGGACGGGTGGGTGGGTTGATGGATGGGTGGGTGGGTGGGTGAGTGGGTGGATGGATTGGGAGATGGGTGGTGGGTGGGAGGATAGTGGATGGTGGACGGTGGTGGATTGGTAGATGACTGGTGAGGGTAGAGGATGCCTCCGTGCCCACTGACAACGCACACCCCTGCTCTACAGCATAAAGCGCCCCACGATCTCTACTTTGACTGTGGACATAGCCAACAGGGAGATTTCGTGTGTGGACATGAAGCCACTGGTAGGCCCTGACCCTTTGCCTCCGCCTCCCTGTGTGAGCATGTGCCTGGGCTGTGCTCTCTGGCGGCTGCAGCCCTCCCTCCCTGACCTGCGTGTCCCTCTCTGTCCTCTGCAGTCGATGCTCATTTCGGTGGGTTGTGATCTGGAAAAGAAGATCGTTGTGCAGAAGTAAGTGTGTCAATACGCGGGTGGGGTGGCACACAGCTGGGTGGCCACAAGGGACAGCTGCTGAAGTGGGTGTCGTCGTGTGTTCGGCTATTTCCTGTTCGTCTCACATTCCCACAGTGAAATGTCAAATAATCTGCTGGCAGAGCGCTTGCCTAGCATGCCTGGGGCCCGGGTCCGCCCCAGTACCAACCCCAAAAAGTCAGTTAAATAACCACCGTGGACAGGCTGAGCCGGCTTCTGCCGCGTCCCTCCGGCACTGGACAGGGCTCACTGCCTCCTCTTCCTTCTCACCCGCGTGTTCTGTTTCCTCCTTTCAGCCCCCTATTGATCAGAATTGCGCAGGGTCTTCGGCTTTGATCTCTTGCTAAGAATAATTTAGAAAATTTGTCTCCAGTATCATGATCGCCCCCCGGGAAACAGAGTCCTGGGAACCCAAGGAAAACAGCACAGAAACCGAGCGGGGCTCCTGGCCTCCCTGTCCCCGCAGACGCTGCTGTGCTGGTGGGCAGGCCACAGCCGCTCTGGGTGGACACCTGACGCGTGGCACCTGCCCATTCCTGTGGTGTAAACGCCCCAAGGTGGCCGCTGATCTCAGGCTCATGAATCCCCGAGGGTCAGGTGGCGCAGGGTAATGTCAGGCTGGATGGCAGTTTCCCCAGGTCTCCCCGCAACATGGAAGGGTCTGCGCAATTGATGGATCATACACCCTGATCCTTATCTGCAGGAAATGTTGTAAAATAATACACAGTTTGTTCCCAAAAAGTTGGGCAAAGGCTTGAACCAGCACTTTCCAAACAAGGAAGGGAAAAGAGGCGCCAGTGGCTGTAGAACACACCGGACGCTGCTGCGGGGAAGGCGCCAGCTCACCGAGCGGGGGACGCACATTAGAGCTTAGCTCTCGGGAGAGCTGATGGGGTCGCCACGCCCGCCACCCAGCTTTGCCGGAGGCTGAGGCAAGAGGATTGAAAATTGGAGGCCGGCCTGGGCAACTTGGTGAGACCCTGTTTCCAAATAACAAGGCCGAGGTGGAGCTCAGTGGTGGAGACTTCCGGGCTGATCCCCAGTTTGACGAGACCCGGTAACGCGCACCTGAGGACGGCCAGGCTCCGGAGTCTGGCAGCGGGGAGTCCCGTGAGGTTGGGGTCCCATAGCTCCAGGCTCAGAGCCGCTTTTGGGGTGTACGTCTTCCGGCCACTTGCAAGCCCCCGAGGACCCAGCGGCCCAGAGTGGTCACAGTGGCTTATCCTGACAGCTTCCAAGAGGAGCCAGGCCGAGTGCCCCAGAGGGAGTGAAGCACCCCAGTGTGGCGTTCTGACGCAGCAGAATGTCACAGTGAAGAGAAGGAGCCAGGCCACGTCCCCTGACGCTTGGCACAAACGCCAGTGTGCAGTGAGAGCCACGGACAGGAGGCCAGGCGGGCCACTGCAGCCCTGCCCGTCTGCGCTGCACCTGCACCTGAGGGCTTCTCCTGCCCCCGAAGTGCAGCTGCCCGCGCCAAGGCCGGCCTCTGCTGGCTCTGCTGTGCCTTGACCTGAGGAGATGGCCCCGCCCCTCCGTGGTCCCCCAGCCCCCTCGGCGGAGACCTCAGACAGACCCCCAGGATGGACACGCTGCCGAAGCCCGGCCAGTCCTGCCCAGCTGCCACGGCCTCGAGGAGCCCAAGGAGACTGAGGCCAAGATGTCGCGTGGGACCCCGTGGGGCTGCAGGATGGGAGGGTGCTGGGGAAGCCACGGCAGCAGAAGAGCCCAGTGACAGCAGTGTTTCACTGGGTCCCCGAGCCACGGCAAGTGTGAGTGCATGAGCGATGAGCAAGTGCTCTGCAAACGTAGAACCGACCTAAAATAAAACCACCCAGGGCCACCCGGCTCGGTGACGCATGCCTGTGATCCCACACTGGAAGGCAGGAGGAGGCCAGGTCAAGGACAGCCTGTCTCAAAATGAGGAGGGTGCCGTGGCCAGGCACCCTGGGTCAGTCCCCAGGCGCAAAAGAGAAAAGTCAGGGCCATGGCGGCCTCCGTCAGGGTCCAGGACTGGCCCTGGTCTTCTGAGGTCAGCTCTGAAAACCTGCTTCCCAAGAGCCCGCGGGGCCTGCACAGGACAGAGCAGGGCGCTACTGCAGGGGAGGAGGGCTGCCTGGGGCGCTGGAGGGTCCCAACAGAACCGCTGGGAACAATCTGTGGGGGCAGGTACGGGTGCACTGTGCCCGGGGCGGGAGACATGGGGGTCCGACAGATGAGACAGAGAAATGGGTCACACAGGGAAGGGCGGATGGATAGATAGAGATGTGGGTTTTGGGGGGAAGGGTGCTGGGAATTGAGCCCAGGGGTGCTCTACCACTGAGCCGTAGCCCCAGCCCCAGCCCTTTTCAATTTTTATTTTGACAAAGTATCTCGCTAAGTCGCTGAGGCTGACCTCAAATTTGAAATCCTCCTGCCTCAGACTCCTGAGCTCCTGGGATTACACCCAACCTAGAGGTGGATTTTTGAGACTTTGTGTCACCCAGGCCAACTGACAAACATACGCGCACACACATGCACACACACACATGCACACACACGCACACACTTTTTCTTTCTAAGTGTGTGTGACTGTGCCTCGTGCTCTTGCCTGGTTACTCTGGAAAGACTCGTCCTGCTCTGGTCAGTTTAGAGCACACAGCTACCTCTCCACGTCCACCCCCGAGGCCACCCTGCGTATTCTGATGTGTCCATCCTCGCCCGTTGCTGTTGCTATGATAGAATACTTGAGACTCAGTAATTTGCAAAGATAAGGGGTTAGTTTAACTCAAGAGCACTAAGCAGGCCCTGCTCTGCACCTGGTGTGGCCTCGTGCTGTGCCGTGTCAGGTGGCTTGATCCGAGGCCCCGTCGTGCCCCGTCGTCACCGTGACTCACCCCTCCCAGGAGCCACACTGGTCATCAGCTCTTCCACCAGGGCAGGTCCCTGGTGACCCCAAGGCCACACTGTGCCCCCCCACTCTCTACCTTCACTGGAGGTTCGGTGGGGACAAAGCCCATCCCAACGCAGCAGTACCCAGCCTGCCCCGATGGACCGCCTGTCCTGGCCACAGGCTGGTGGTGCACCTGCCAGCCAGGGGAGTGCAGACCCCAGAATCAGACCCAGGACGGAGGCCTGTGCACCGAGGCCCTCGCCCTCCGGGATCCAGCGGCCGTGCTGTCGTCTCCTTCGGCGTCTCCGACTGCCCCCACTCATGGCGGCCTCTCGCTCTGCTCTCCTCTTCCGCCAGCCAGCCTGGACGGATGGAGACCAGCTCTCCAAGGCAGACGGCCAGGTGCGCGGCCGAGGCCTTGGGGCCAGGGAGGCCGTAAAGGCAAGAAACCCACAGGAGAGGGTCGAAATCAACACTCTGGCCGCAGGAGCCCGTCACAGGGGCTGGTGAGGGATTGGGTGGGGAGCAGAGGACCCCCGCAGCAAGGCCATATGTACTCATCCAGACTGTTCCGCAGCACGTCATTGTCACTCCTGATGTCCTGCATACCTCTGTTCTCCTTAGGGGCCGCGTAGCAGCTCCATCCACTGAACCCCCTTCCCTGACACTCCATCTGGGACGTCTTTCCTACATCAGGCTGCACAGCTAGGCCTCACCTTTTTATCAGCTGCAGAGTGTTCCTGCATGTGGCCAGTAAGCTGTCCCTGTCTTTAGGGACATCTGAGGCTGCACGTGAAGCTACAGAGCCCCCAGCCTTGTGTGCCCATCTTCGCGGACCACCAGGGCATGGGCTCTTCAAGACAAACTTTGTGGAGACTTGCTGGGTCCAGGCTTCTGTCTCGAAAAGCTGTTTCAGGGCTGGGCTGGGGCTCAGTGGCAGAGCGCTCGTCTGGCACGTGTGAGGCCCTGGGTCCCATCCTCAGCACCACATGAAAAGGTGGTGTGTCAACTACAGCTGAAACATATTAAGAAAAATAAGGCTGGACCAAAAACACTTGAGTAGACGTTCCTCTAAGGAAGACAGACGGGGCCAGCGAGCCCTCCAAAGAGTGCTCCGCGCCACTCGGGAGGAAGGGGCAGGTCGCACCCACGAGGAGCGGCTGCCTCGCACCCAGCGAGACGCTGCTGGGCTTGACTGGTGCATGAGAGGCGCTGGGAGGACAAGGCCAGGTCAGACCCTGCGCATGGTGGGCATGAGGGGACAACGGGAAGCCACTGTGGGGAGCTGGCGGCCCTCGGAGAAGGGAGACACAGGATCTGCACACCCTGGGGCCGTCCCATTGCTGGGAGCAAACCCAGAAGAGCCATGTCCTCAGCAGCACGACCCACGAGAGCCGAGGCGTGGGGCACCGTGGGTCACGAGGGGCGAGGGGCCCTCACGCCATGCACACCACAGCACCCTGACTCCTGCTCTAACGTGGGCGCACCCCAGGGACACTGTGCTCAGAGACACAGCCCCAGACGCAGCAGGACATGCGGCAGCCTCACCCCCAGGAGCTGGTGTGGCAGGGGCCGAGCTTCAGTGTGGGGAGATGGAATGTTCTGGAGAGGGTGGTGGGGACGGCTGCACAGCCCTGTGTCTGCCCCAGGACCCTGGACTGTGCACTGGAGTCTGATCAAGACGGTAGCTCCTGTTACATGTAGGGCAGCACACATTCTAAGTGACTTTTTTTTTTTTTTTTTGTGCCAGGGATTGAACTCAGGGACACTCAGCCACGGAGCCCCACCCCGCAGCCCTGTTTCGTATTTTATTTAGAGTCAGGGTCTCACTGAGTTGCTTAGGGCTTCACGGTAGCTGAGGCTGGCTTTGAACTCATGATCCTCCTTCCTCAGCCTCCTGAACCGCTGGGATGACAGGTGTGGCCACCGCGCCCGGCCTCTAGGTGACATTTTTATGTTTTTGATTTTTGTCGATGTGGAGGACAGCGTGCCTTTATTTTATTTGTTTTTCTGCGGTGCTAAGGATGGAACCCTGTGCCTCCCACGTGCTGGGCAAGCGCTCTGCCACTGAGCCCCAGGCCAGCTGCACCCTCTAGGTGGCGAGCCGCCCCCTCGCCACGTCAGCCCCACTGCCTGCATCCTTGCCCCCAGCTCCTCCCCTCTGTCCCTGGCTGCGGAGGTCCCCTCCAGGCCAGGCGGCTCTCACCATCTTATCTTGCTCACAGCAAAATCTCAGCCTGCTCCAAGGGCATCCTGGACCCCGTGGAGCTCCAGAAAAACTACTCCTACGTCATCGAGAAGTAAGGCTGCCCCCGCCAGCACGGCAGGGCAGGTCAGGAGTGAGGGGGGCTGACATCTGGCCAGAGAGAGTCCATGCAGGGTGAGGACCAGAGCCAGGAGGCCGCCGCCCACAGGGCAAAGCCACCCAGAAAGAGCCACCGTGCCAGGCCCCGGGCGCCTCTGGACACCGCCCCAGCTGCCCCGGCTCTGGGTCCCCCCCGAGGTAGCGGGACCGCTGGGCATTCCCAGCCTGGATGGGAGGGTGCAGCGGACCAGGGCCTGGTGGCCGCACGTGTCGTCCCTGACCCTGGGGCTGAGGCAGGACTGTCACCTGAGCTCACGAGCCAGAGGCCAGCCGTGGCGGCAGAGTCAGGCAACAGGACTGTCTGTGCCGAGCGTGTGGCCCGCCACTGCCCCTCGACACCACAGCACCAGAGCCATCACCGACACCTACAAGTGTGTTCGAAGGCCACCCACAGGTGACACACAGGTTCTGCGAAATACCACACCTTACCATTTATTTTCCAGCACCGGAGATTGGACCCAGGGGCACTTAGCCACTGAGCCCCAGCCCCAGCCCTTTTTTTAAATATATATATATTTTTTAGTTGTAGATGGACACAATATCTTTGTTTTTGTTTATTTTTATTTTTTTTTAATGTGGTGCTGAGGATCAGACCCAGGGCCTCACGTGTGCAAGGTGAGCGCTCTATCATTGAGCCACATCCCCAGTCCCCTTCCCAGCCCTTTTTAAAAAGTATTTTATTTAGAGACAGGGTCTCTCCAAGTTGCCTAGGGCCTCGCTGAATTGCTGAGGCTGGTTTTGAACTCGCCATCCTCCTGCCTTAGCCTCTCGAGCTGCTGGGATGCAGGCGTGGCCACCAGCCTGGCATATTGCACTTTTTTACATAAGGGACTCAAGCATCTGTGGATTTGGGAGTCCTCAGGGAATCCCAGAACCCATCCCCGTAGGACTAATCCCCTTCGGATCCTGAGGGATGCCTGTAGCTGTAGATACGGAGGGAGGGGAGGAGAAAGACTGATTGTAAGGAATTGGCTGAGGCCTGGAACTTAGGACATCTGCAGGGTAGTGGAAACTGGAGCCCAGAAAAGAGCTGCAGTTTGAGCCACATGGCCATCCGCTACGGCACAAGGGTTGGGATTGGGGGCAGGTAGGTGTTTGTTCTGTTCTGGCCTTTGCCTGATTTGGGCAAGCCCACCCAACATGGTGGGGCCCCCACAGCACTCAGAAAGCCCTGATGTAAACATCAGTCTCATTCAGAAACCAGAAAAGACGCCTTCACAGAAATAGATCATGTTCCACCAAATGCCTGGACCCAGTGATCCAGCCACGTTGATACACAAAATTAACAGGAAATCCCAGTGTCTTTGGGTCTTGACTGTGAAGCTTGTCCCCTAGATGTCACCTCCATTCTGGTGAAAGTCCCTGTTGCAGAGGGAAAACAGGCTGCAAAGGGCCCGGCAGTGGGCAGGAGCTGACCCCACTGCCCGTCGCTGCTTCCTGCTCTCTTAAAGGGAATCCTACGACTCCAGCTACCAGGGGCAGCGGTCCGACGAGGACCTGGTGGTGCAGTACTCGTACAAGGACCTGGGCTGCCCGCGTCTCGTCTACTACGACACCCCCTGGAAGCCCGTGATCGAGCTGTAAGAGCCCCGTGGGTGCCCAGCATGGGGACACCTCTGGGCCCTCGCCTCGGGCCCACCTGGTCTGGGGGCCTCCTCAGGGCGGTGGTCACTCTGCCCTCTGGGATCACAGGCGTGTGCCACTGCGCCAGGCCCAGCTTGCTTTTCAAACATTTGTCACTTGCCTCTGGTTGGTTGGACCCACGGTGCAGCTGCCGCGTGAGGGGAGCCAACTAAGCTGCAGATGTCACCAGAAACCTCTGGGGACAGGGAAGAGTCCTGTTTGCTTGGGCAGGGTGCCGCTTGGTGATGGCATGCTTAGCGTGTGCAAGGCCCGGGGCCTCACACATGCTCAGTGTGCGTGGGATCTGTCCCTGTGCTTATCATGACGTTACTTGGTTCCGACACATGGCATCAGCTTCTTCCAGTCCCTACTCATCGGGTCCCTCTCAGAGGCTGCTGCCCGGTGCCTGGCCCCCACTCTGTCCCCTCTCCCTGCACTTGGCGCGGCCCCCCACCCCCAGGACAGGTCCACGCAGTGGGCAGCTGTGGCAGAGGTCTTCTCAGGTCCTTGGAGCCGCCCTGCCCTGCGCTGTGTCCCAGGTGGCGGAAGTCGGACTTCCAGGAGATCGTGAGCGCGGAGTACGTGCTGCTGGAAGTGAACGGGGTGTTCACCTACTCCTACGCCATGACAGCTGGCTCCGCCTCGTGCATCAACCAGCCCCAGAACTGGACCAGCATCCTGGAGACGTCCTCCAAGAAGGGACCCTTCTCCTGGAACAGAGAGGTAGTGCTGACCCTCTGGCCTGCACAGATCAAGCCTGGATGAGGGGGAGGGTCGCAGCCCCGGTGGGATGGGAGAGCGTGGCCCAGGGCCGTCCTTTGGAAATCCGCAAGGGAACTGACCACGGTCCACTGGGCCCTGCTGAGGGGGTGAGCCCGCCGTCCGCCGGACGCCATCTCCGCGGACTGACTCAGCTCGGGGTCTGAGCTCTCCGTGAGCGTTTCCACAGTGCGGGGTGGTCTGTGGTCAGCTGGGAAACAGACCTGGTTAAAGGCCGAGCGCAGAGCGGTGCCGCCAGCAGGGGGCGCGCGCTTCCCGCGCCTCCGCCCGAGCGCTGTCCAGCGAGGTGACCGGCTCTCGGTCTCGTGGCCTTGATCCTGTGGGTTCTCCTTTAGGTGCTGAGGATGCACCCAGGGCCGGACACGTGCGCGGCGAGCGCTCTGCGGCGGAGCCCCAGCCCCAGCCCGTCAAGGGCTCTGGCTATCGCCGCGTTATTGTCGCTTCCCCTGTTTTTAAAGATGAAACTCGCTTCACATTCCATGAACTTTGGGGGTTCTGGAGTCAGACCCAGGGGGGCGCCATCGCTGAGCCCCAGCCCTTTCTCATTTTTATTTTGAGAAGGTCTTGCCAAGTTGCCGAGGCTGGCCTTGAACTTGCAGCCTCCTGCCCAGCGTCCACTCCGTGGCGGGACAGGCGTGTGCCACCGTGCCCAGCACTTTGACGACCTTTTTTCTTTTTTTTAATAGTTATTTTTTTAGTTGTAGTGGGACGCAACACCTTTAATTTATTTATTTACTTTCACGTGGTGCTGAGGACGGAACCCAGGGCCTAGCTGGCGTGCCCCGCGAGCGCTGTCCCGCTGAGCCCCGGCCCAGCCCCGGCTTTGGTGACTTTTTAAGGGAGAATGTGTCAGAGTTCCGCACCACATAGTATTCGGTCACCGACAGACAGCATGTGTGGCCATGCTCCTGTGAGACCAGGACAGGGCTGAGGACGCCCTGTCACCTGGGGCCTCGTGTGCTGTGGCCGTGCAGCTCTGGACACACCACTGAGCGGCCAGTCGCCCAGTAGCACAGCGCAGGCAGCTGTGCTGGGCCGTGCGGCCGTGGGGCTGATGACAAGGCGCCTGGTTCCTGTGTTCCCTGAGGTTGGGACCCAGGGCCTCACGCAGGCCAGGCACACTGCCCTGCTCTGCAGTGCGCCGTGGCTGTCAGACACGCCCGAGACGGGCACTGTCCCGGAACCCTGTCCTGTGGAGCTGCGTCTCTGATGGCTGGAGACTAAATGGTGTGCAGCTCCGCAGGGTCCCCAGGCCTCCCCACTGCAGGCTTGTCCCAAGGTGCCCGGAGACGCGCGCTCTGGAGTGTGCTCGCGTGTCCTGCAGCGAGGACCCTGGTGCCTCTCTCTGGGTGGAGGGACACCGTCACACCTTTGTGCTGGGTCCTGTGTCCATGGCAGTGCCAGTTTTCTTGTGGGCTGGGGTCTTCTCTTGGTTTTCAAGAGCTCGTGGCTGATGGCAGGCCCCGTGCCATCCCCCGGGTGGTCTCTCTGCCTCTGGTCTTCACTCAGCACCACACCGACTACCTCTGGACCCCCGTCGCTCTCCTTTATTGCTTCTGGACTTTCCCTCTCTGCTCACCTGCCTCCTTTCTGGGAGGCCCCGGCCAGGCGGGGCAGAGGACCCAAGCGCAGGGCCGGGAGGTGGCCTGGGTCCTGGCTGAGGGCAGCCAGCATTCTGGGCCAGCCGCGGGCTTCCTGGGTGAGGGCGGGCTGGTGCGGGTGGACAGTCTGACACCCCTGGGGAAGGCCAGCTTGCCAAGCCGTCACTGGACAGGCCAGGGGCCAGCTGGAGTCATCCGCAGACCCCTCAGGCTGACTGCCAGGGAGCCTCCGCCTCCACAGAGCAGTGGTGCACCCTGCTCCCAGAGGCCGAGCGGGAGGCTGCAAGTTCAAGGTCAGCCCCAGAACTCAGCAAGGCCCCTCTCCAGCATAACAGGGCTGGGGTGTGGCTCAGAGGTAGAGAGGCTGGGCGAGGTGCAAGCCCGTACCTGACAACAATCCCAGGACTCTCAGGAGTCCGCAGCAGGGCACTGGTTCATTTTCCTCTAAGTGACACCCTAGAATCTGGAGACAGGACAGAAAGCTGCCACCTCGACTGGCCTCAGTCCCCCTGACCTGGCCTTCATCAAGCCAACAACAGCCCCCGGAGGGAAGTCCGGGCTCCACCTTCCTGGTTCCCAAGCATGGAGTCCAACTGGGCGGCTCCACCCGGGCGGCTCCTCCCAGGCTGTGAGGAGAGCCGGTCCCTGGCCCTCTTGGCCGGCCTTGGCCTTCTTGGCCTGTAGACGTGCCACCCCACCTCTTCCCTCACCCACATGTGGGGTCCCCTGTGCCTGTGAGGGTGCAGTGGAGGGTGGCAGGAAGCTCCCAGGAGGACAGGCCAGGGCCAGTGGCGTGCTTCTGTCCCCTCCCTAGAACTACATAAGCTGCCGCGACAGCAGCAGCAACCTCACTGCCTTGGAGTGGCCCGATGCTCAGTACCAGGTCCTGGGGGGCCTAACAGACAACGAGATCATCTTCGACCAAAGGAACGGGTTCTACGTCTTCCACCTGTCCATCGTGGACCCCTACTACAGGTCAGCTGGTCTGCCCTGCACCAGGGCCACCTGGCAAACTGGGGGCAGGCTCTGTGGGGCGGACGACACCTGTGCAGGGTACCCTTTATGCCCCTCCCTCACCGGCTGGTAGATTCTGGCTGAACTGAGTTCCCATGGGGCACTGGGGCCACAACTGTCATCCCAGTGACTCTGGAGGCCGAGGCAGGAGGATGGCAAGTTGGAGGCCAGCCTTAGCAACTTAGCAAGATCCTGTCTCAAAATAAAAGTTAAAAGGCTGGGGTGTGGCTCAGTGGTAGGGCGCTTGCCTGCCTCCCACACGTGAGGCCCTGTCTCTGTCCCAGCTCACACTGTCCTACAGAGTGACGATTTTAAGTTCTAGTTGACATTTGTTCATTCCGGAAGTCCTGGCCCTCTGTGGATTTTGCATCTGCAAGTTAAACCAACCACTGGTCAAAATGTTTAAAGAATCCTGTCTGCACTGGACACGTACAAGGTTTTTTATGGCCACCATTCCCTAAGTAACAACCATCGCTACACGGCCCGGTGCCAGGGGTCCGCCCCTCAGAGGCGACTTCCGGCCCGGGGAGGACACAGGTTCTGTGCCCAGACTGCCCGTTTCACACAGGGGACTGGAACCCCTGGGGTCCTGGAACTTGGCCCCGTGGATTCCGGGGACGGCCGGATTTCAGAGTTCACAGTCAGTGCTGGGGAAGGAGGGCGGCCCGCAGCCACGCCCTCCTGCCACCTCCAGTGGGGGACACCCCACGGGGGCAGGCCGCAGGCAGCTCAGCCACTCAGGGCCACCGGCCTCGGGGGAAGGGGGTCTGTGAGCCGGCCACCATGGGACTTACGACTTGCATGGGGGGGGGGGGGCTCCACGCAGCCTGTCCCCGCCGAGGGGCGTCAGGAGCACCTGGAGCCAGCCCAGTACTGTTGGCCAGTGTCCCCCTGGGGACAACATGGGCGACTTCCTCGCCCTGCTTGAGTCCTCTCAGCCATGACTGTGGAGGAAGGTCCACCTAGATGTCCATGGGGCCTCCTGGGCCCAGTGCTGGCGCCCACTGTGCTGCCCCCTCAGTCCGCAGCCCGCTGTCCTGCCTCGGGTCTGACGTGTGGGCGGGGGACCCGCGGCTGTCCCAGCGCCTACCCTCCTGCCCCCGCAGCTACTGCCAGCTGGAGACCACCTTCAGCATCTACGTGTACGGGGCCTACCCGCGCAGAGCCATCCCGCCCGAGGCCGCCATCGTCCTGCTCGTGAGCGGCCTCCTGCTGGCCGTATGGCTGGCCTACCTCGTCCTGCACACCGCGGAGGGCCACAGGTGCCAACAGTGCTGTGCCAGCCTGTGCTGCTGCGGCTGTGCCAGGGCCAGGCACTGAAGCCCCGGCCTCGCCAGGGCTGAGCACTGGGGCCTTGGAGTAAAGTGTCCCGACTGAGCAGGCAGCAGGCGCCTTCTTCCCACTCCCGCCGCGCAGGAGACTCGTCTGTCCTGCTGGGGGTAGAACCCAGCCTGGGACAGGCGGGAGGGTGCTCTGCATTGGGAGACACACCTCGGTCCTTTTTTTTTTTTTTTCTTTTGGTACCGGGGATTGAACTCAGGGACACTTGACCACACCCCAGCCCTGTTTTGTATTCTATTTAGAGACAGGGTCTCCCTGAGTTGCTTAGCGCCTCGCTTTTGTTGAGGCTGGCTTTGAACATGTGATCCTCCTGCCTCAGCCTCCTGAGCAGCTGGGATGATAGGTGTGGCCAATGCACTCAATTTTCACTGATTCTGTGACACTGTGGCATCCCGAGGCCAAGCCCATAGGACCACGGTTTCCTAGAGATGACACTTAGTGCCCTCTCCACCAACCTCACGTCTGTAACATGCAAACCAAGCAGTGCCCAGCGCAGGCTCCCAGCCTCCCGTCACTGGGATCCTGCAGTCCAGGGCCAGCCCCAGGGCCCAGAGCCTACCACACAGAGTCTGCCCACCCTTTGCCTTTTGTGCAAAAACCACAGCAGGGACCCTGCCTTGTGTTCCCAGCTCTCTTTGCGCCCGGCCAGCCCTGTCTCCTCCCCTCCGCTCACTTGGCTGGACCTGATTACGAGGGTCCACGCCGTGTCAGACCTCAGCTCACAAAGCTGAGCACAGTGGCGCACCCCGCCACGTCCCAGGCCCCCTGGGCTTCCCCAGCACAGACCTCGGGTCCCCCGGATGAAGGTCCCAGCACCAGGGGACAGCCCAGGGTGGGCAGGACTCCCAGCCCATCCTGGGAGGAGCAAGCCAGGCGAGCCATCTCACGGGGCGTCCCAGGATGGGCGGCCTGCCACCTGCTGTTTGGTCACAGGTTCCTGGGGGTGGCACCCCTCAGGGTCACCTTGGGCACAGCAGAAAGGCAGGTGAAGGCCTGTGCATGGGCAGTCCCATGGGATAAGGGGGGAGGCTGAGGACACTGGCGCTTGGGGTCACCCTGCCCTTCCTGGGCTGGGCTGTCTCTGGCTTCTCAGATCACACCTAGGCAGTCCCCACTAGAGCCCTGATGGACACCCTCACCTGGGCTCAGGGGCCACGTGCCACACGTGTCCCCACCCTCCTTACTGGGCCTCCCTCCTGCACCCACCTCGCCCACATTGAGCCAGCACTGCCCCCACCACAGAGGGGTCTGCTGGTGCCCAACCCTCACCACCCGGCCAGTCGGCAGCACAAGCCCAGCCCCTGGCCTGCCTCCCCTCGCCCACCACTGGCCCAGGGCTGCGGCAGGGCCTGGCCCATGGCCCCAGGCTCCACAGAGGCCCCACAGAGTCAGGGCCTCTCCCACCCGTGCAGCTTCCTGGGGCACAGGACAGACAGCAGGGTACGGACCGAGCCACTCTCCAAGACTTGCCCTGTGTGCTGTGGCCACTCTCTGGGAAACCTTGATTTTCACCACCAAACACAGAAGTCAAGTCCTCGTGCTGGCTGGACGCAGTGCCGCGCACCCGTGATCCCGGCTACTCAGAGCTCCTGAGGACTTAGCAAGACTGTTTCAAAATGAAAAACGGCTGGGGATGGGGCTCAGTGGAAGAGCACCCCCAGGGTTCCATCCAGAACCAGAAAAAACAAGTTCCCCACTTCCTGAGGACCCCTGCTCGGGCCCTCTGGCGCAGGGACCGGACTGTCTCCTGTGACTAGCCCTGGAGGCCAGCGTCAGAAGTGCTGGGTCCTGCCCCACCTCAGCACGCAGCAGGGCACAGCCTTGCCTTCCCTCAGACGCGGGCCAGGGCACAGGTGTCCGCACGCAGCCTCCTGCCCCTGGAGGCCAAGGGATGCCAATCTGAGAGATCAAAACTTTTAATGGGGGGAGACTCCCAGGTCCTGCCGTGGCCCCACGGGGGCTGCCACCTGCCTGCCCTTGCCACCCAGCTTCCTCTTCCTGACGGCAGAGGCAGCCTTCTTCTTCCCCGGGGGGTCAGACCTCAGGACAGGGGCCGCAGGGTCAGCAGCAGGGGGCCCCAGGCGGAGCGGCGGGGCCTCGTCAAGCGCCTTGAAGTTGAAAAAGCAGTCCACGTTGGACACGGTGTCCAGGATCTCGGGCACGCTGTAGTCGAAGGACAGCAGCTCGTCGGGCAGGTGCAGGGAGCGGATGTCACTGGAGGAGTCGCCGCCGCCGCCCCCGCAGTCGGGCAGGGCGGTCCTGGGCACCTTGCGCGGGGTGGCCTCGGGCTCCGCGCCGGTGGGCAGGCAGTCGAAGAGCTTCATGGCGTCCTCCAGCAGCACCTTGTCGGGCAGCACAAAGGCCCGCGCGGCCTCCGGGGCCTTGGCCTCCCCGGGACCTGTGGCGTGCGGCAGGCTGGGCACGGCCCCACTGCCACCCTGCGGCTCCTTGGTGGGGAGAGCCAGGGGCTCGCTGGGCCGTGCGGCCCCCTCAGACCCGTGGACTTGGCTGAGGTGGCCCTTGAGGGGGCCGTAGGTGCTGGGGGGCAGGGTGGCCTCGGTGGACAGCGTGACGAGCAGCAGGGGCAGCCTGCTCTCCTTGGGGGGCGCCAGGCTCTCCTGGCGCAGCGGCGGGGGCAGGTCCACAAAGGCGGGGGGCCCCCCATCGCCCACCAAGCCCAGGGCCTCGGGCCCAGGTCCCTCTGGGGGGAAGTAGGGCATGAGGTACTGGGGTCCCCCGGGCGCCGGCTGGTAGTGGGGATACGGTGGCGGGGCTGGCCCGGGGCCCTTGAGGTAGTGCTGGGGCTCCAGGAGGTAGCTGCCTGGCGAGGCGGGGCCCCCAGCCACGGCCAGCTTGTACAGGGACGACTGGCCAAAGTCGGTGGTGGCCCACTCGATTCGGTAGATGCGGGGGTCAAAGAAGCAGCCGCACGGCGCCATCTGGAAGCCTGCAGGCAGCGGGCGTGGGCACCCACGGGGTTGGGACAGGGGCCTCCCGACTAAGGGCCCCTCTGGGACGCAGCCTCGTCTCGGGCCTCGCTCTGAACTGTCTGGGGGGTCTGTCTAGGTGAGGACATGGCTTTCTCCGCAGCTTCCTGAGGGATGGTGTCCCCAGGCTTTGCTTCGGGGACCCACTGGGATCGGGCCTCACTCTGGGTCCCCACGGGCAGGGCCCAGGGCGTGCTTTGAAGGCTGGGCAAGGGGGGGAGAGCTCGCCTCTGGGGAACCTGGGGAGCAAGGCAAGCGGACCTGCCTTGTGGCACAGAGGACCTGGCCCCTCCTCTAGGGCACCCGTCTGAGGTTCGGGGACGCAGGCCCACCTGCAGGGTCCCATGGGGGCAGAGAAGGGAGATGAGCCCTGCCCACTCTTAAGTGCTCCGGCCCTCGTTGAGCTGGGGTGGCCGGTACCTGCTGGAGGGGCGGGAAACGCCTCTTTCTCCGAGCTTAGGGGCTGATACAGGAGGTTCGAGGCTGTGGACAAAGGGGCCCGGTGGGTGGGGCCTGAGCTGCGGAGGCGCCCTGGGCACCACCTCCACGAGGCCGCCCCCACCCCGCCAGGCGTACCCACGGCAGCAGCAGGCTCAGGGCAGGCGGGCGCTGGCTGGCTGCCCAGCCCCTCGGCGCTCTCCAGGCCCCTGGGGCTGAAGCCTTCCTGGGGGGCTGCGGTGGGGTAGAAGGGCTTGGGGTGCTGCATGGGCAGGCAGGGCCTGGCAGGTGGGAGTGGAGGTGCCCACCGGAGAGCAGGCTCAGAGTCCTGCGGGGTTCTACGCCCCTGGTTACTGGGGCAGTGGGTTCCAGGCCCAGGCCTGCCCACCAGGTGGGGTTCCGGGGGTGGGAGGGTGGGGTTCCGGGGGTGGGAGGGTGGATAGGAGGCAGAGGGGACACCCAGAGGTGAGAGCCAGGTGTCCCCTGGGGTGGGCAGACCCTGGCCTGTCCTCTCCTCTCTGGCAACACTGTCCACTGCTCAGAGCCATGGCCCCTGACCTCACCCCGAGGCCCACTCCACCACCCGCTGGCAACCTGGTGGTTGGTCCTGGCCTCTGGGCAGCACAAAGCACAGCCCCACCGGGCCCTCGGGTGGCCAGAGGCCTGGTGCATGAGCGCGTCGGCTGGGAAGGGCTGCCGGCCAGGAGGGAGGCGGGGGCGACCGGGACGGCAGGCGGGGCTGGCGAGGAGCGGCCGAGCGGCGGAGAGGCCTGGACTCCCAGAGTGAGCCGTGTTTATTGTCTTGTCCACGCGGGGGCCGGGGCCTGTGGGCCGCTACTTGTACGCATTGGCCTTGTGCTTGGGCAGGAAGACGAAGCCGGGCGGCACAGGTCCCAGGAGCATCTCGCTGTGGGGAGGGCGGGGATCAGACCTGGGGCTTGGCCACCCCGGCAGCCCGCCCCAGCCCCACCACCTGGGCACCTGATGCGGATCCAGTCGGCCGCCTGCTGGCTAGCCATCAGCGTCTCCAGGTAGTCGCGGCCCAGGTAGTAGGGTGGCCGCTCGTTGACCCTCTGCGGCAGCCGCTCCAGCAGGCCCACGGGCACGTACCTGCAGGGACGCAGGTCAAGAGGAGCCTCCAGCCCGGGCCGCCCCCCACCAGGGGCCACCCACCTGCACAGGAAGGACAGCCACTCCAGCAGGAAGCGACGGGTCTTCTCCACGCCCTGCGTGTCTGAGCCCCAGTGCTCCAGCCCGTAGCTGGTGAAGTCCCTCAGGATGTCCAGGCGCTCGGAGGACGAGATGTCCCAGTGCCGCTGCTCCTTGATCTCCGTGAACAGCCACGGCTTCAGCAGGGCCCCGCTACGGGGTGGGGGCGTCACCTGCGGCTGCCTGGGCCCTAAGCCACAGCCACCAGGAGCCCTCCCTGCTGCGACTCCCCTCGCTCCCTGCCTGTCCTGGTCCCACAGGACCACAGTGGGCCCCTCACTCCCACGCAGCTGCCACTGGCCTTGGGCCCTGCAGGGAACTCACCGGGCAATCATGACCCCGGCCACTCCCGTCTTCAGGGCGTGGTTGGCATCCTCGTATGACAAGATGTCCCCATTTCCTGACAGGGCAGAGAAGGTACCTCGGGAGCTGCTCTGGGTGATCCCCACCATTGGGTGGCCCCCGTCAGGGCAAAAGAGGTGCAGGTGGGTGAGTCTGGTGAAGGGGGTGGCCTCAAGTGGCAAGGGGACAGAAATGGCTTCGGGGCACCCACCGAACAGCGGCATGGGGCTGGCGGCCTTGGCGCACTGGGCGATGTACTCCCAGTCGGCCAGCTTGGTGTACCGCTGCTCCCGAGAGCGGCCGTGGAGCTGAGGAGGCAGAGGTGGAGATGCAGAGATCAGGCACACAGGTGGCCGTGGGGACAGGGGCCGTGGGGACAGGGGCCGTGGGGACGGCGGCCGCAGCCCAGGCCAGGACCCACCGTGACGAGGGCCGCACCCCAGTCCCGCAGCTCCGGCAGCAGGCGGTGCGCCAGCTGCACACGCTCCTGGACGCCCGTGCGCAGCTTCACTGTCAGCGGCACGTCCAGCACCTGGGGACAGGAGGGAGTTGGCGGGGCTGGGGAGGGGCCGGGGAGGGGCCAGGGCAGGGCCAACCATCACGCACCTGGCTCATGCCGCGGACGATCTGCTGGAACTTGGCCGAACGGTTCATGAGTGCGCAGCCCCCGCCCTGGGGAGAGGGAAGGTTGGCCCTGCCCATGGCACAGGCACCGCGACCACCCAGCCCTGCCAGGACTCGCGCCACAGCGACGTCTGCGGCCACGCCCCCCAGTCTCCAGCTGGCCCGGCACCTTCATGACCAGGCAAGCGAGGTGGGCTCCCGGCCCGGCCACCTTACCTTCTTATACACCAAGTCGATGGGACAGCCGACGTTGATGTCCACAAAGTCCACCTCGATGGTGCGGCCCAGCAGCTCTGCACACCTGGTCATGGTGTCGGGGAAGGCGCCCTCCAGCTGTGGCACAGCAGGAAGACCCCAGGGCCTCGCACCCGGGGACTGCCACACGGCCATGGCCACCCGCCCTGGCCTCCCAGGGGGTGGCCAACCAACCACCCTGCTGGCATCGTCTCTGAGGCACCAGCCCTGCACCAGGGCCACTGGGCTGTCACCCAGGCAGATCCTGAACGTGGCTCTGAAACCTGGCAGCCAAGGGGCCCACCCCGCCTCCTGGCAGACGCTGACCTGGACACCGAAGATGTCCTCGCACTGGTGGCGTTTGAGCAGGGCCCACTCAGACATCTGGCCCTGCAGCAGGTTGGTGCACACAGCCATCTCCCCACATGTCACATCCGCCCCAAAGCGCTTGCAGATCCGCCGGAAGGGCAGGTTCCCGCACTGGGCCACCAGGACACAAGACATGTGAGGCCAAAGCGGGCAGGGACCCTGGGGCCCGGGCCAACCAGCCCCCTCCTCTGCCAGGCCCTACCGTGGTGAGGGGGGCCAGGTACAGCTTGCCGCTGATGTCCAGCTGGAAGGAAGAGACCACGTGAAGGCAGACTCCCCCACAGCCCAGGACGCTCCCCTCTGTCCTGCCTGGCTCCTTTCCACCCGGGGCTCCTGCAGGTGACGACCCACCCTTCGTAAGACTCCTTCTTTGCCCCACACTCCCTGTGCTGGAGAGCTCATCTCCGACCACCAAACCCCAGCCATGATGCCCCTGCTCTCAGAAGCCTTCTGCGTTGCCCCCCTGCCCGGCCCAGGCGCTCCAGGGCGGCGCTGTGTGGCCAGCTCTGCTGCCCGCCACGCTGAGGCTAACTGAGGGCTGGGCCCAGGCTGGAGATCAGAGGGGAAGGTCAGTGGAGCTCCTCCAGGCACCTGGCTGTAGGCGTCTAGCACAGGAGTGACACAGCTGGTGCCTGGCAGGCACGTGCTGGGAGGCCAGCCCTGCCGCCACACCGGCTGCAGTGGGGCCTGGGACACACACCCGCTTCTTCTCACAGGGCCGCAGCCTGACCACGTCCTCGTCCGTCAGGGGGCCACAGGTCTGCACAGGGCGGCTGGGAGAGCAGCCAGCGTCTGGCCCAGCGGGGGCCTGCTGGGCGCCACAGTCGCTCTGCCCTGGGGTGCCCTCAGCTGTGGTGGCCTCGAGGACGGCACCAGCCAACGAAGGGCCTGGCAGCTGGCCTTGGCTCAGCTGGCGCAGGGCGAGCTCAGCTCGCTCGAAGCGGATCTTGCGCTTGCGCAATTGCTGCTGCAGGGCCTTGTTCAGGCTGTTGCGCACTGGCTGGCGGTGGGCCCAGTCCGAGGCCAGCTCCTCCTGCACCAGGTTCTGGCCCTCGGGCCCCAGGTGGGCCCCAGCGAAGCGACAGGTCACACCATAGGGGCACCTGCCGAAGGTCTCAAAGAGCACACAGCGGGGGCCCAGGTCGGCCGGCTTGGTCTCCAGGTAGCGGCTCACGTCATGCAGGAAGCGGCAGCGGTCACCAAAGACACACTTTGCAGCAGACTCCTGTGGAGCGGAGGGAGGACGTGATAGGACCGGGAAGGCTGCTTGTGCGTCCCAGATCCCTGTCTTGCCTGTGTCCTCAGGCACGGCGGCAACCTCCCCAGGCCTCAGGCTCTCCATCTGTGACTGGGGACCAAGAGCAACACAGTCGGTCCTCGACCTGCCAGGAGGTCACCTGCAGACACCCACAGTAGGTTAAAGATGCCCCACGTCCAAAACATGACCTCACCACCAGACCTCCTGGGTGGCTATGGGGACCATGGAGCATTGGCCTTCACCTTTCCAGTCTCGGGCTGATGGGACCCAGCATCATGTGACTGTCACACCACTCACAAGAGTGTCTCATGTTACAAATCAGGAAAAGATCAAAATTCAAGTTTCAAAGTGCGGTTCCTGCGGAATGTGTGTGGCTTTCTCTTCATCAAAACGTCAGATCAGAGGCTGAGTCACCCCAAGCTGCCGGCTGTACTTACGTTGTGACGGGATCCTGAGGATCAAATAGGGACTGAAGCCCCCAGAACCTGCTCATGGGGTCATGCTCACCTGAATCAGTGAGGGGCAGAGCCTGGTCTTGTCATAGTGTGTGGGCTTCAAGTGGGGCCGGCTCTTGTTCTGGCCCCGGGCCCTTTTTTGGGCCTGTGGCTGCTGCCCGGGCTCAGCTGCCTGCCCATCCTCGGCCTGCCCATCCTCCAGTCGGATCCTCTTGGCCCTAGGCTCAGCCAGGTCATTGCCATCAGGGTCTCCTGCCTCTGATTCCTGCTGGAGCTTCTCCCCTTTGGCTTCCAGGAATTGGTGAAACTGTTCCTTGGTGGTGAGGTATCTGCCAGCAGAGAGGGAGAAGAAAGGGGGACTCTTCCAGGAGGTCCTCCTGTGAGCGCAGACCCAAGGAACACTGGGGTGAGGAGGCTGAGCACTACCCCTGCTTAAATGCTTCAGTTGACAGAGAGCTCACTACTGAGAAGCAGCCAGCTCCCATCCAGGGCTAACCTCAAGGCCAGAGGGAGAACCTACTCTGTTCCTGGTTCCCCACTCCCCTGAGCATCAGGCCTAAACATAAGCTTTATCAAGCCGGAACATCCCTGGCCTAACGTGGGAAACTACAAGTCCCAGCATGCCTTGCAACCCGCCACACTCCCCGGCTTGCCTTTCAGCCCCACAGACACTGCAATCCCCAGCATGCCCTGCGGCATTCGCGGCGACGCCAAACCCCCTCCAGCAACAGCGGCTGTTAGGTGCACACGCGCCGTTCCCACCATACGGAAGGACTACAGTCCCCAGCACACATTGCGGGTCTCGCCCTGAACCCCGCCTATCCAGCACGCACGTGGCCGCCTCTCACACAAGTGACAGCCTCCGACGCATACCTCTACGGGTGTTAGCCTGACCACTCTGCGGGCTCTGGGCGGAGGAATAGCCCAGACTGAAGACTCTGCAAGTTCCCTGCTCTGGACCGTGCCCCACATCCGGGCATGCGCCGCTCGGGCCGCACTACGGGTACCGGGAAGACTACATACGGTGCCCCCTGCTGCTCTGCAGACTCACTGAGATTTAATGGGCGCCACTCCCCGTTCCGACGCGCTGACTGCTGAGTTGCTGTCACCTCCACTCTCTGCTGGGGCCTTCTTCGCTCCCTCCGCCATCGACAACTCAAGGCCGTTGTGGAATGTGGCAGACAGGCCTTCCGGGTCGCGCATGTGCTCCATGGCCGTACAGGGCGAGTGCGCATGCGCGCAGCGCTCCAATGACGCTGTTATGCGCGCCTGGCGTCACGGGGCGGAGCCAAACGTGGGTGGGGCCTCGGACGGGCTTGTAGGTCAGAGGGAAACCAAAAAGGGTCCTCAAGGGCTTCAAACCTGACACTTGCGGGCCACAGGGAGTGTTCTGCTCTGCTTTAAAAAATATAAGTTCTATGGGGGGAGTGGGGGGAGGAAAGTAGTTCCCAGTAACCTTTTATATGTTTTTATAATAACCGGAAGGCAGGAGCGCAAGGCTTGTAAGAACAAGGAGTTGGCAACACGGTGCCCCTGATGGCAGGTCGCACGTCGTAGGCGCGTATTGAGGTCTCTTACTGTGTCCTGTAAGTCTGTACAGTTAGCGCACGTTAATCAAAAGTTTAAGGAATGTTTAAGGAGAACTACCCTGATTTGATCATCACATACTGTACATGGGTCAGATTATCACAGGGCACCCCACATGTTTGTACAATTAAAATAAATATTTTTAAATGTAAGTTTCACTACTTTTAAGTGGGGCATTTGTTCAACAGATAGTTGACAGTTTATGTGCCAGATGCTCCCTAGATGCTGGAGATACAGCAGTGAAGAAAACAAAATCCCCCTGAGCTGGCGCAGGAGTTAGACAGTGAACATGAATCGTAACTACCCTGTTAGTAGTAATGAAGTAGGGAATGGGAATTGGGGATAACACTTTTGGTGTTTGCACATTTTTAGTAGGATAGTCAAGGAAGGCTTCACTAACAAGGCCATATTTGAGTATACTCAGAAGAAGTGAGAGTCATAGGGCTATTGAAGGAAAAAGTGCTCCAGGCAGAGGGCATAGGTCCTGGGGCAGGACTGGACTGAGCATGTTGGAAGCACAGCAAGGAGAAGGAGAGGTTGGGAGAGGACAGGGAAGGTCATTCAGTGTCCTTTGGGCACAGGGAGGACTTGGACTTTGATACCCAGGGATTTGGGAGCCATGGAGGGCTTTGAGCAGAGGAGGGAGGCCCTAGTCACCATTTGCCACTGCCCCCATCATGCCTGGTTATGCCCCCTAAGGTCCCCGATTTTGGAGGAGGCTTGTGCAGTGGGGAGCTCAGGCTCTCCCTGAGTTAGACTCCCTGCCCCTCCCTCCACCTGCCAGTGGGGAACACCCTGCAGCTCTCTCGCCTCCCCTCAGCTATAAAATTGGGCTGATCAGAGCACCTCCCTCAGAAGGAAAGGGCTCCGCGAGCAGTAGTCGGACAGCCGTCGTCACTGCATTGTTGTCACTGTCCTCATTTTCCCTGGCTTCCGTCCAGGAATGCCATGCGTCCCTTCACCACCTCACACAGCACTCAGAAGGCGAGCGCTGTCCACAGCAGGAAGGGGATGCCGTCCTTCTGGTGTGACAGGTGGTGAACAGGCCCAAAGAGGGAAGGGATGTCCCTGAGGCCATCACAGCCTCAGCACCAGTTTTTCTAGGACGGTGGAGAAAATGGAAGGGTCAGAGCTGCCGCCCACCTGGGGCCCGACCACCTTCTGTGGGACACAGTAGGGTTAAGTGTGGAGGCGACCAGCTCCCTCCTCCCTCCTGGGGTGCCTGTCCCCTGCCTCTGGATCCTGTCACTTGTCCCCCACACAGCTTCACAGGAGACAGTTGGGGAGACAGGCTCAGGGAGGCCTGCCTCTTCCTGGCCGAGGAGCCCATGGCTGGCTGTGGACACCAGGGCGTTCATATGAACGGTGGCGTGTTGGCTCATTACATGTACCGTCCACACAGTAGGACGATGGTGGCATGATAGTGCTCACTTGTCCCCCGTGAATGGCTGTCAGTGCTTGCTGTGGGCCAGGCCCTGTTCTAAACATTGATACCTGACTCTGACCTTTGTCACCCGCAGGCCACAGAGGGCCCCTGAACTGCACTTGTCTGGCCTCCCTAGCCTCAGGCACCCCTGTCCTAGGGAGACCCCATGTTGTTCCCAGGAGACTTCCCTCCTGCTGTGGCCTCAGAAGCCTCCAGCCCCTCCTGGCCTCCTTCCCCTGGCCTCCGCATCCCCAAGAGAACAATGGTCTCAGCACCTCTCCTGTGTCCTGCTGTCCCCAGCCAAGGGCTGCCTCACCATCCAGAGCCAGAGACCAAGAGGACACCTCCCTGCCTCTCTCCCCAACAGCCTGTGGACCTCCATGACCGGCTCACTTTCCCGCCAGACTCTCACGTCCATCCCCACCCCTCCCCCCTCCAGACTTCCATCTTCCTGTTCCAACAGCCCAGTGGGAAACACGATCCCGGCAGAGGATGTACCTGACGTGCATGAGCCCCAGGTTCAACGCCTGGCACTGCAAAATAATAATAATGATAATATTGGGCAAAACTGACCGGGCCCTCCCGGCTCCCAGTCCTTCCCTGGCTCCCTAGTGCCCTGCCTGTCCCATTCCCTAAGCTCCCGCACGGCCCAGCCCTGCTGCCTTCTCCCTGCTTACTCCAGAGATCTCAGGAACCAGTCCTCCCTCTGAGCCTCCGCACGTGGTTCCCTCTTCAACAGCACCATTCCCTGCTCCCAGGCACCTTGATCTCCCCACCCTTCCCCCCTGGAAGACTCCCCGACTGTCCCGACGAGGTGAGTCCAGTGCCCGCTCTGGCCCTCTGGCTGCCTGGCCCCATGATCACCTTCCCCACAGGACTGTGAGCCCAGAGAGGGTGGGGGTTGGGTCTGCCTTTGTCACTCTGTGTCCCTAGCACCCAGCACAGGCCTGACACAGGAGGGGGCTCCATGAACACTTGTCGGGGGAAGCATGTTTCCCCGGCTGGAAATGGGGCACCGCGGGGAGCCTTCCCTTGGAGTCCCACCTTCACTGAGCTGTGGCAGGGGCCTGAGGGGTTCCTATGAACCTTGGGGGCATGGGGGACATGAGGAGATGTCACCCAGGCTCATCCTCCCAATGCCTGACCTTGACTGAGGTCAAGGAGGGAGGCTGTGACCCTGGGCCTCTGAGCCGGTGGCGAGAGTGAGGGCCAGGTGGGGGTGGGACAGGCCTGGGGACCTCGCAGCTGGCTCGCTCTTTGCGGCTTCTCTCTGCCTCTGTCTCTTTGATTCTTTCTATTTCTGTCTCAAAGATTCATTTTGCTCTTGCTCTTGGTCCTCTCCTCTGCTCCCCTCTGCTCCCCTCTGCCCCTGCGGCGCCCTCCCAGCCCCTGCCCTCTTCCTGCCTCTCCCTGGCTGGACAGCGCTGCAGGGCAGGTGCAGCCCGGGCTCCATGCCCAACACTGCCGCAGCCACCCCGGATTTGTGGCTGCGACTTCTTTATCGGTGGCTGCAGCTGCCCCTTATCTCCTGGCTTCAGGACAGGAGACCGGGATCAGGGCAGCCCGGGCTAAGGACAGGAGACGGCAGGGCCGGCCAGGCAGCTGGGCAGGCGGCAGTGATGACAGGGAGCCAGGGTGCATGTGGCACACGCGGGTGAGCAGTGGTGTGCACACTTCCATCTGCTCCTCTGTGTCCACGGGCAAGTGCGTGTGTCTGTCTGCACAGCCCTGCAGGGCCCCACCGGCCACCCGCATAGCCCGGCCCCGCCCCCTGCCGGGATTGTCTGCCTGATGGCTTTCCCACCTTGCTGACCTGAGACCCCCAGGGATGGGGCCCTCGACCTGTGACCCGAGGCTGTGAATGGCCCTGTGGGGACAGCTGCTGGCCCTGTTTTTACCATCCTGGCCTGGAAGGCTGGCTCCTTCCTGCCGCCCACAGGCCTCCTGGGCTCCATCCCAGCCTGGCCGTCTTCCCCTCCGGCTCCCGGGCCCTGGCTTGACCCCCAGCCAGGAGCGTGTGTCCAGCTCTGGGGACCCTGCCAGAGTTGAAGTGAGAGTGATGTTGAATTCAGCACCCAAAGCTGAGCGCTGAGGAGGACCAGGGCCAGTGGCGGCAGCCTGGAGTCGTCCCATGATCCAGGCCAGTCCAGGGGACACTACCCAACTCCAAGCGCTGATCTGATGGCACAGGGAGCTGTTCCTCAGGTGGAAGAACTGAGGCCCGGGGGCCTGTGCAGCAGCACACTGCAGGATGAGGACGGGCTCTGTGACTAAGGCTCAGGCCAGAGGCAGCTGGAGGTAGGGAGGACACTGAGTGCCCAGCCACCTCCAACCCTGCACAGCCGGTCCCTGGGGGTCCCAGGGTACAGCCCCAGGCCCTCTGGCCCTGGACCAACTCCTAGCACTAAGATGGAAAGTTCTCCACCAGCCAAGTCTACATCTTGGCCAGCGGCCGCTGGCCTCCCAAAACTGGCCTGGGTCTCCACCCCTGAACAGAACACTTCCCTTGGGAGCAGTGGCCTCCCAGGGAGAGAAGGGGCCAGTCTTGGGGGAGGGACAGGGAGGAACATTCCAAAGTCATCCAGTCCCAGGTCAGAAGCCCTTCTTTGCGGTGTGACCTGGACCTGCCTCTTGATCTCTTTGATCCTGGGGTTTCCCAACCTCAGAACGGGCATAGAGCAGGCTGTGGAGGAGGGCGGCTGTTGCCAGGAGCTGCCAGGGGCAGCCATCTGCAGAGGTGGTGAAGGAGCGGAACTAATTTCCAGGCAAACACAGGGAGGGCAGTCAGGCTCTGAGGCCTGGGTTTCGGTTACCCTTGCCCGGACCCACCCCTGCCTTGGCCTTGACCCTGGCATCCTCATGGAAGGAGCAACGTGCCCAGGGGTGCCCCTGTGCCTCCCCAAGCCTCAGTTTCCCCACTCCTCTGTTCTGGGAAGACCAGGAATCCCACTGTGGTGCAGACACGTGGGAGATTCAAGGCCTAGCTCCCCCCACCCCACCCTGCCCAGCCCAAGTCCCGACAAGGAAAGTTTAAAAATAAAGCGCTGTAAATGCCCCAGCCCCGGCCGCGCAGCCTCCCGCGCAGCCGGGCTCTCCCTTTCTTCGAAGCGGTTGAGACCCCGAAGATTGGTCCTCACAGGGGGTCTGTGGGTTCCCAGTGGGGATGGGCCCCTGGCCTAGCTGGGGGTGGAGGAGTTCTGGAAATGAGGTGTGACTGTGCACCCCAGTTCCTGAC